AAAAGAAAAAGAAGAATCGGACTATTAATCATTCTTTCTTCTTCTTTTGGTTTGCCTTTTTCTTTTTCTAGGTTCATTCCGATAAATTCTATTTTTTTTTATTTGTCATTTGGACATCACATCTTCTTTTTTATACAAATTAAATTATCAATATCGTTCGATTAATGATTGAAAATAATCTAACAACTGTGTTGTATGTACAAACTTTTGTTGTTGTTGGACAAATTGCCCAAAAACCTGTATTCAATTTCAGATGTGTGAACAAAAAACGAAAATTAATGTTTTTTCACACTCAATCCGTATGTAACATTCTCTTTTTTTTACATGTCATCATCTAACTTTTCTTTTCTTTTCTTTTTTCTTTTAATCGATCGGTGTTTAGTGATGATCGAGAATCGAGAATCGAAAAAGATTAATATCTTTTTTGGATATTTTACGATGCTTACGAAGCTCATTGACTTGATTCTGGTTTTTCGCGTATTCATAAGATACTTATCAGCAAACATTATAGAAGAACATTTTCCTTCGCTTATTTTTCTGAACTTCAAAAACCATTATCAAAATGGAAATGAATATTGAAATTTTTCAAACAAAAAAAAACGAATACCAAAAAAAAGGTAACTCAATTCTCATTCATTGCCTTACTTTTTTCTCTCGCTTTGTTGTTGTTGTTGAAACATTCATTTCACCTTAAAGGCTATGACAATAACAACAACAACAACGAAAACTGTTTCAAAGAATAAATGTTATCAGTGATGAATTAAGCAAAAGAAGAAAAAAAGTCAATTCCTGTCTTATTATCATTATCAGCAAGCAAGCAATGTAATGTAATGTATGTATATGACATGTTTGAAAAATAGAGGAAAGAAAAAAAAAAGATAAAAGAAAAAAAACGAAGAAAGAAACGAAGATATCTATTGTTTGAATGAATGAAAAGACTTTAGATTATAATTTTTTTTTTTTTTTTTTGATCATCATTCATTCATTCAAGTCAAATGCACAAATGTTGATGATGATGATGATGATGATAGCACAGTGTATTTATACCCCATTTGGGGTAATGCATGGTTGACATATATAGTGAAGATAGTCAGAAAAAAGAAAGAAATTATGGCTCCAACCATCATAGAAAATCATTCTTATTCATTCGATATTTTTTTTTCATTTTATTTTGCATTTTGCATTTTCTCATGCTGTGTGTTCCATTTTTTTTTCTTTTTTCTTTTATTTTATTTATATAAAGTTTCTTTTGTCTAGTTTGATTACGGGAATATTTCTCAAATGAATAGATTTTGTTGTGGTTGTCCATGACTGATTATCATCATCATCAAATATTTTCAGCGAATTAATGTTGTTGTTGTTGTCTGGGTTCCATTTTTCTTTCCCTTTTTTTCTTATTTGTTCCGCAATTTTTAACCCCTACATTTCCCTATTATCTAATCTAATGTAATCATGATGTTTATCATTAATTTACTCAACAACAAAAAAAAAGGTTAACTTGATTGCCGCATCACTTTTTTTTTTCATTCTGCCATTCTCACATTCGGCACAATGCAAACACACAGTGTTTATGTTTGTTTTGTACTCGAATGATGAAGATGCAAAATAAATATGATAAATGCAAATAGCCAAGGCAAAAAAAAGACGAAAAGAATCATCAAAATCAGTTTGGATAGTGTGTATTTGATCTGATAATAACGTTAATGTTAAAATAGTCCATCACATCAGTCAGTCAGTCAGTTTTGTGTTGTGTTGTGTTGTGTGTAAATGTCATTTATGTTTTCACTTTTTTTCTTTCTTTTCTTGTGAAAATATATTAAATGGACTTTTGGGTTTTCTCGTTTTTTTTTGGTTCAGGGTTCCAAGAGAATACTGAAATGGGGACTAGGAAAAAAAACTAACTTTTTTTTCCACTAAAAGTTAGTTAGTTTTGGTGGGAAACTGGATCATTTTTAATAGCTATATGAAACAATTGATGGATGAAAACTTTTCTCTTCCATCAAGTATTATTAAGTTCATTGTTTCATTCGCTCGCTTGCTTTACTTTGGTTTTTGGCTCGAACAACAAAAAAAACTTGCAAATAAATTGATGGTAGTAATTATTTCTATGCAAACGAAAGAAAAAAAATATTGTTACATTCAAGTGCCAATCGATTTTTCGGTTGGTTCCACCACCATCATCATCATTACCATTGCATTAGAATTTCAATATATTCAAAGTGAAGGATTCAAAAAATAAACTTGTTGATGATAATGATGGTGGTGACCATTAAACTTTTTTTTTTTATTCTCCCCAATTGAAAACAAGAAAAACAGAATTTTAACAATCAAGTTTTTTTTTTGACAGAAATGGAAAATGAAGAAAATGCATTTATCATGTAAATTCAGAAAATGTTTTTTTTTTAGAAACATGAATGGCGCCATGTTTTTTTCTTTTGTTTGTTCTTTGAACATCGTTATCCAATTGATCTCAAACAATCGATCTCAACAATCGATTGTTTTCTTGATTTATTTATGGGTCAAATTTTTTTTCAACAAAAATCAAATTGTCAATCAAAATTGATTGACAATTTTTTCAAACATTTTTTTTGACTGAATGAATGAAATGTTTTACGAGAAAAATTTCATTAGCAAAAAAATGAATCATTATGAAAATAAATAAAGAATGAGCCCTAAAAAAATGCACTATAAAAAAAAGAGAATCAATAAAAGTATAACATCAATTTTCATTAAAAAATTTCAGTCATTTTCTAATATGAAAAGTGTGGAGAGAAACTTTTTCTCCTTTTACTTTTTTTTTTGCAGATATAGTCATTTATTTAGTTTAGTTTAGTTTCCTCCTATATATAGCCATATATTGAGGGAAACGGAAAGTAAATTAATTTTAAGTTGGCTCAAGTAGATCAATGTCATAGACATAGACATAGACATAGACATAGAGAGAGAGACATACGTCAATTTTGTTATGTTTAAAGCAATAAACAACGATGATGATGATGATGATGAAAGCGAAAAAACTGACCAAATATTTCATTCATGCGTAATATGATGGTCATCGTTGTTGTTTGGTGGGATTTTTTTGTTTGTTTTTGTTTTCGTTGAAAATTAAATGAAATGGATTATGATGATGATGATTTGTCATTTGGTGGTACAATTCTCGATCAACATATTGTATTTTTTTTATTTGGCTAAACAAGATTTGTTTTTCTATTTTTGGTCAAAATAAATTGGGAAACAACAAAAAAAAAAACACCCGGTTGTTTGACAAAAAAAAAGATAGTTAATGGTTACTAAAAATAACTAAACAAAAAAAGTAGTCAAATATGACTTTTTTATTCAAGTTAGGTTAGGTTGACTATGAGCGAAAAAAACAAAAAATATTGAATGTGGGATGTGTTTTTTGTTTTTTTGTTTCTCCTCTATAATAAAACTATAGGTTTGAAACAACAACAACAACACACAATTCTTAACACATAATTCACCCGATGGGTCAATTTTTTTTTATACAAATGTGATCTATAAATTTACAAATTCAATTATTACTTTTTTTTCCTGTTTATTGATTATTAATGATTAATTTCTTTTTTTTTCTTTGATTTCATTACCCCAAAAACAACAACAACAACTAGGTAAATAAATGATGAAATTTTGCCATTGGCCATGGATGGTTGTTAAATTATTTATAAAGTAAAACAAGCAAGCATCATCAACAAAATCATCATCATTTTCATCAAATATCGAAGAAAATTTATTCCATTGAATTCAACAACAACAACAAAAAAATTGAATTAATTTATTTTTTTTTTCTGGGTGAAATACAAATTTCGAAACCAAAACGAAAAAATGAAATGAAATGAAATCAATCATTTTCTGTACCTGATATATTAATTATTGATGAGCCTCAACAACAACAACAACGATGATGACAAACAACAATGATGATGATGATGAAAATGTTACCTTTGAAATTCATCAATCAAATCAAATTTACCTGTTCAATTCTGTTGCCTTACCTGATTATAGATAACCAAAAATTTTTTTTTTTTTTTTTTTTGTCAACCAATTTTGCATAACTCAATCAATCAACAATGTACAAATAGAATAAAAAAAATGAGCTTTTTTTCAAAATGATTCTTCAAAAATCATTCGTTATTAACCCGGTGGAAACCACACAAGAAAAAAAAATGTGATCAATAATAATAATTGTCAACAGCGAAAAAAAAGTTTTCAATATTCTTTCGTTGTTGTCATTGCCATTCGTTTGTTTGTTTGTTTGATTGTTTGTTTGTTTGTTTGTTTGTTTTTTTCAATTGATTTTTTGAATCAATTTTTCCAATGAAATCATTATGTGACCACAACAACAACAACAACAACAACAACAACTGACCATCACAACTCATCACTATCACCATCACCACTATCGTATTATCATCATCAACATCACGTCAATTCTGTTTTGTTGCACATCAAACTTTGTTTTTTTTTTGGCTGTTTAACTTTGACTGCAAGCAATTCTTCATTTACCACTGCAGTGTGTCCGGTGGGTGTCTTTGTGTGTGTGTGTTTTGTGAATGTGTTATGTGTGTGTGTGTTGTGTGAATGTCATGTCCAATCAATTTGATTCGGCAAATAATAATAATGGTTTTTTTTTGGTTTCTCTCTCTCTCTGCTTGTGTGTGTTATGTTTGGTGATTGGTTTTCCTCTTCCACTGCAAACGACGACGATCATAAAATTTTTTTTTCTTCACAAAACAAATCAACCAAAATAATAATAAAAACATAGTGCGAATATACCCTATATATGTATAGTGAATGTTTTTTTTTCAAATGAAAAAAAAAATTGTCGTGAAATTAGCGACGAAAAAAAAGAGACGACAATAAAGATTGTTTAATCTTTTTTTTTGAAATAAAAACATTCACAAAGCATACTTGGAATAACATTGAATTATCATTGTTGTTATGGACATTTAATGCAAAACAAGGGAAAAAAAGAGTTCTGGGGAGTTCTTTGATTTTTTTTCTTTTCTTTTTGCTGTTTGTTGATTAGATGAACTCTCGTTCTCTCTCTTATTTTATATGGCAATCGTATGATAAATAAATATCGACCGACTTTCAACAAAAAACAATTTTTTTGAAAAGTCGGTTGACATTTTTTGTACAATGAAACGTCAGAATATACGTACATTATCCCTTATTGTATGCACATTTACTTATCTTCTTGTTGGTGCGGCAATATTTGATGCATTTGAATCGGAACACGAAGATAAACAACGTATTGCATTACAAACGTTTGAAAATATGCTTAAACGTAAATATAATATGAGTGATGAAGATTTTCGTATATTAACTACAGTAGTAATTAAAAGTGTGCCTCATAAAGCTGGTATACAATGGAAATTTTCTGGTGCTTTTTATTTTGCAACAACAGTGCTCACTACAATCGGTAAGTATTATAATATTATTCACATTGCCACAATCCAAATCTATTTCTATATTCTTCGAGTTTATTACATAAAATCAGAAGAAGAAGAAAACAAAAAATCATTCTTATCGCCTGAATGAATTAATGTGTTTGCAATTTGTTTTTTTGCTTGTTTTTATCAATTTTGGGTCATGTTTTTTTCCTGATCATCATCATCATTAGAAAGAAATATTTCGTGAGGTGAATAAGCTGATCTAAGCATATTGATTATTGATTATCAATGATAAAAAAAACGAAATGATTTTCTCTCTCTCTCTCTCTCTCTCTCATTCTTGGATTTAAATCATTAATGTTTTAATGTTGTTTGATACCATAGGAAAAGCAAAGAAAAAAACATTTATTTTTTGTAATGCAGTGAAGCCAAATTTGAAAGGGGCAAAAATGATATTTGTTGGCCTTAAAATGTTGGCTACACTGCACAAAATGTATTTTTTTTTTGTTTCTTTTGTTGATTTCCAAACATCTGATGACATTCATTGGATTCAAAAAAAAAATACTGATATCATATTGTCCACAGAAAAGAAACTTATCAAAAACAAACGTGATTTTCTTTCCAAAAATATTACCAAATTATATAACCAAATTTATTTATTTATTTATAAATGTGGTTTTCTTTCTTTCTCTCTCTGGTTACTTTGATTGTTTTTTTTCTATTTATTTCCCACTTTGTTGTATGAATGTTTAATTTTGTTGTCCCCATATCCGTGTATGGTGTTATCCAATAAAATATATGAAGAAATGTTATTTTCTATTAATGATTATATAAGCATTTTTTTGGGTGCTACATTTTGATGATGATGTTGATAATCAAGTAAAAAAATTATTATTATTATTATTATTACACTTGCACAATATTTATTTATTTATTTATCATTTGGTGGAAATAGTCGTTTATTTTCCATTTTTTTTCTGTGGTTCATTATTATTAATGTGCATGTCCACTCTACATTTTTTTTTTTGAGATAGATTTGTCTCCATCAGAAAAACCAGAAAACGCAAAGCAATATCAGTCACATATTCTATACCCAAAAAAAGATTTCTGGGTTTTTTTTTGGATATGGTTCCCAGAAGAAAAATGTTTCATTCAATTCATGTAACCTATTTTTTTTCTCGAAACTATTTCAACATATATGTGAATTACCGACACACACATACCGATTGTGGTTTTTTTCATAATGAATAATTAATCGATTCAATGTGTTGTGATGAACTAAGTAAGGGAAAAAACCCATATAAAGCACATATAGAATTTCATCATCATTTTTGGTCAGTCATCTAAGAGTCAAAATAGTCAATCGGTGTGTGTGTATGTTGTTGACACGCAATCATTAACATTAAATATAATTTGCCTACGTGCGTTTGTATATGTTTTGCCCCTTTTAGATTAATCAGAGATTTTTCAATTCCATTTCAGTGTGTGATCCATATGTGTTTTCTTCTCTATTCCCAGCATAGAGAAAAATCCAAGATTAATTTTTCCCCAAGTTTTTCCCCTTCAACCAACCAACCAGCCAAATGCCTATACGCACATACATAGAGAGAGAGAGAGAGAGAGAGAGAAAAAAAACGATTATCGTTTAGATGAATTGTTGATTATTTTCATCATCATCATTTCAATTTTCATTTTCTCGGTTTTCTTGCTTTTGCTTTTGCTTTTGCCATTGTAGTCTATTCAATCTCATGTCAATTTTATTCGGTCATCATTGAAATCCGCCTTTTTTTCGCTTTGTTATATGGAACACAACACATTTGACATAGATTCTATGATTCTTTTGGAAAAATAAAAGACTTGTGATTGCATGATGATAATGGTGATGGTTGGTTGGTTGGTGGTAATGATCATTATTTTCAACCAAAAAAATTCAGGTCATTGAACTATGTTCCACAAATGTCGGTCATTTTGTCTGAACTGTATTTCTTCTTGACTAAAGTTGCTATTATTCTGGCCTTTTTTTCATAATCAATTTTTGATTTGTCAATCAAAAAAGAGAAGAATGGAAAAAAATATGATTCTTTTTCTGTTGTTGTTTCATTTTCAACTTTTTACTTTCAAAAAAAAAAATCATTAATCAGACAATAATAATTATGAAGATTTTGAATTATGGTTTTTCCTTGTTTTTCAGTTGTTATCGTTTTTCTTTCGTTTGAAAAACTTTATGATAGAATTTTGTAACAAACAAACAAAACGAATGAAACGAATAATATTTTTATTTCATTTCAAATTATCCAACACACAAAAATCAATCATTACCATCATCAGTCATAAATAAACAAGCGAAAGAATTGAATTATAATAACATTTCGTTTCATTCCATTCCATTCTTCACTTGTAATTATGATTAAAATTAGTTTTGTATGATTTATTGCCATATTTTTTTATGTTTTGAAAAAAACCCGGATCCCATTCATATATAAAGTGTTTGTCGGGGATTCATTTGAATATTTTTTGACACTATTCAAACAATCAACCAACCGATCATCATTCAAATGATTGTAAAAAACATAAAGTTGGTAGTAGAAAAAAATTAATGGAGAGGGGGGAGAAGAATATGCTAAGATTTATTGTTTTGTTTGGTGGCCACTATTTTCAGCTTCGTGTTCGCGTGTGTTTATGTGTGTTGCTTCCCCCCATTCACATTAAAACCAGAAAAAAAATCCATAAAAACCATCAAAATGTTTATTGAGAGATTTATACATATTGTATGTATGATATACCATACATTAATTATGATAAGATTTTTATTATCATTTCACTCTCTACACACAAACCATATCATGTTTTTCTCTCTTTCTTCGAATTCATTCAATAGGAAATGACATTTTCCTTTCTTCTTCTGCTTCTTGTCTTGATGATGATGATGATCAGGAATTCTTTGCTTCAGAATTTCAAACCAAAAAAAAACATCTTAATTGAATATCGAATCATAATGATAATAGATTTAGTTTTTTTTTCTCGAAAATTATCAAATGAATGAAACCGAACCGAACAATGATGATGATGATGAAGAAAAATCTATTAATGAATTATGAATGGGAAAAAATAGAAGCAATAAGAAATGAATGGTATTTTTGGACACATAAAAACACATATACGAATATAATGAATGTTTTACAACTTATTTTTAATGAATAATGAAATTAAATGACAATGTGATTTTCATTTTCATTTCTTCATTTCATTTTCTTCTTCTTCTTCTTGTTCTTATTTTTCACTTACTTACCGACTTTACTTACTGACTGACTTACAAATGATTAAATGTTATTATTATTCATTTTCTTCTCTTCTCTTTCTCTCATTTCATTTCATTTTCTTATCTTTTTCTTCTTTCTTTCTTTCTTTTATTTCCATTTTCCTTGTTTCATTCCATCATTCATTTTCATCTGTGCGATTCATTCAAGGATATGGTCATTCAACACCAGCAACGTAAGTAAATCAATAACAAAAAACTAAAAGACAATGATTTTTATCAGAAAAGAATATTCTTCTTCTTCTTCTTTTTTCAATTGTTTTGTGTGTATTGTGAACTTATCCAAAAACTGACATTTTTTTTCTATAATTTTTTTTAATGTTTTTTATATGTGTAGGGGCGTATAATTATTCTTTGATCATATTAGATTACTATGGGATGTTTTGGATGTAAAAAAATTTATCGTTTCTTTTTTTTTTAACTGACTGCCGTTGTTGACTGCCTAAATGAATGTGATATGTTGATGCGATGATGATGATATATCACATCGATGAAAGTTTTTTTTTTCTCATAAGATTTATATAGGAGAGAAAGAAAGATAGCGAAAAAATGGATCGAATAACACAGTAAAAAATGTATATCATTGATATATGCGTGTGTGTGTGTATTGGTGTGTACACTTCTTTTTTTTCTGATTGAATTTATTTTCCTCTTCTCTCTCTCTCTCTCTCTCTCCATCTCTATTCTTATTCATTCATTTCAAACTTGAAAGAATATTTGAAAAATTCTCTCTCTCCCCTTTCTCTCCCTCCCTCTCTCATCCATTCATTCATATACTTTTCTCATTATTTGATATCAAATTTTCATTATTATTATTATTATTATTATTCCATACATCATTGACTTGATAATATGATTTACTTTCATTTTCTATTTTTCTCTTTCAATTCTCCCTCGGTATAACAAAAAAAACCAAAAAATATTAAAGTTGATACCTTTTTTTCCGTTTCAGTTATTATGGTTCCGTTTCTTCAACAAAACCGAACCGAATTCTTGCCATTTTTTTTTTAATAAATATATTCTAGGGCTATTCTCATCGGAGAAACAGCCAAAAAGGAAAAAAAAAACAGGTATCCATTTTCCTGTTTTTCAACGAAATAAAAATGAATAACGTAGGTTTTTTTTCAAAGAAAAAAAAAATTTCCGTTTTTTTTCGGGCCATATCATCATGAATATAATGTAATTCAAGTATTTGATAATAATGATGATGGTCTTGAAATACAAACAAGAGAAAGAGAGAGAGAAAGACGAATAAAATCATTATGATCCAATTTTGAAAATTTTTTGAAATTTTAAAATTTTTTAATGATAAAGAACGGAACTATTTCACTGGTTAGCAACTATAATAGTCAATAACCATTGTCACTTTGTCATTGTGTTTGGCCGGTTCAGTTCTTTTTTCTTAGTTAAGATTCTTTTTTGGTTTGTTTTTTTCTTTCCAAATGATCATCATCATAAACAACAGATCTTTTTTTCCTCCCCCTCCTCGAATGAAAATGCAAATTATTCCGCAATTATTATGCAGATTCCGGCCATCCTCATTCATTAGCATTTTTTTTGGCAAATGAAAAAGAATTGTCAAATTTTAAAATTTAAATTCTCTGTTTTTTTGAGGCTGAATTTCCTGAAATCATTCAATAGAGAGCCAGTTGATTTTACTGTTTCTTCTGTTACTGAAAAGTTTACAAAGTTTTGATTGAAAGTATAAGTAAAAGTTTATATCACTGTCATCATCATTATCATAGATTTGTCACATTGTCAGATTTTTGTATCAAGTGTGGTTGGTTGTCTGGTATTTTTTTTTCCTTTCAAAAACTTATTTCCATCATTAGGTTAGTAGTCTATCATTGAATTGTCACTTGTCATTATTTTGTTTTTTTTTTGAAATTTGTCAACTTCTTTCTTTGGTTGATGGTGAAATCTATCCAGATTGATTTGAAGCTTTTCAATTTTTCATTTTTTCGATAACAGTTCTGGTTTGATTGATTTTTTTGGTTCACTCTAGTTTGGTGCTTGGAGAATATCGATTGTCAAAAGAAAATTATATGCTTTTTTCGCTACTTTTTACTTTTTCAAATCTTAAATAACTGTTGAAGACGAAGATTGAAGAATCGAAAATTCTCAGATCAAAACATCATTACAAAATGATGAAAATGGAAGAAAAATCCATTAAAAAATTTCAGAAAAAAAAAATGAAATGAAATTTTCATTATCATTTGGCTTTCATTCAGTTCAGTTCAGTTAGTTTTGTTGTTGTCAAAATTCGTGACAATTCTTCTTTCTAGTTTCTGCAAGCTTCGACTGATATTGATAATGATATATTTTTTCTCTCTCTCTTTTCAACAAAACAAAATAGTTGATTGATTGATTGATTTGACAACCAACCAACCAAACCAAACAATGTTGCTGTTGTTATTTTTTTAGTTGACAGCCCTGTTTCAACAACAACAACAACAACAAAAAATGCTTTTTCCATCCATTCATTCATTTGATAATATCGATTATTATTGAACAAACAACGAGAGCAAAATGGGTTAAAATAAAATTGATGGATCGAAAAATACTCATCATCAACGTCATTGACAAAAAAAAAAAATAAAATATTGTCATTAATAACATTTTTTTGTTTCTGTTTTTCTCTGTGTTATACCAATAAGGGGTTAGGTGGGGTTAATAAATTCCACACTAGAAAAAAAAACATTTAGTTTGAAAACGATAAAAACTTTGTTGTTTTTTTCATCATCGAATGTCTCGAATGATAATGATGATGGATTATCTATCAGGGACAAACAACAAAAAAAAACGATGAAATTTTTTTTGAAACAAGAAGAATTTTGGAGATGGCCTTTAGTTGATCAATATCTTTTGATCATTATTTATTTATTTATTTCAGAATTTAACCCCGTGAATTGGATAAAAGAAAACAAAAACATTGAAAATTCCATTAACAAACTTTAAACAAGATCAATTTGAAGAAGAAGAAAAAAAAATGATTTGAAGCAGCAGCAGCAAAAACTTTCTTATCATCATTTTCATCTTGAAGAAAATTCGTTTCATTTTTGTTTTCGTAATACTTTTTGCATCATCATCGTCTTTCACCTTTTATGAAAAGCAATCATTGAATAAACAAACAGAGAAATCCTATGTACATCATCATAGGATTTAGATGTTGTTATTTTTTTTTCTCATTTTCAAAGCACGTATATTATTCACAAGTCTCATATATCGATCACACTTCTAAATTCCTTTTTTAAAAAGTATTTTTCGATGATGATGATAATAACCAAACCAAACAGAAGAAATATCATTGAAACTTTTTTTGTGTGTGTTGATTTTGGATATTAAAAAGATTGTTTTGTTTGTTTATTTTTTTTGCTTTCGTTTCTTTTCGTTTTTTTGTCAACAACCAACCAACCAACCACATACTACACACCACCGATCCAGTTTAGTTTATTTTTTCTTTCACTGACACACAGTTGGCTATTGGAATGGGCCATCAAACCAACACCAACCAAGTGAATCAAACAAACCAGCCAGAAAACACACACTATATCGACACAATGACGTCCAATCCATCATCACTCTCTAGAAATATTAGAAAATGAAATGATAATTTTGAAAAAACGAAAAAAAATAATAATAATAAAAAATGATTGTCGAATGTTGCACACACACACACACACACACACTGTGTGTTTTCTTCCCGAATGTTCCCTTTTTTTTCCATTCGGTAAATATAGAGAAATGATTTCGATTTTATATAGAAAAAGAATGAATATTTGCAACAACAACAAAACTTGAATATAATACCACCAAAGAATCAAACAAAACAACCCTAGAAATGAAGATCCATAGTGAAAAATGTGAACCAAAAAAATTGTCATATATGATCCTCAACCCCAAACAAACTACAGAGAGACAATCGAAAAAAAATCATCATTCGTTTCCATTTTTCTTGGCCAAAATAATTGAATATTTTCCATTTCCATTTGCCTGTGTATTTCGTATTTTTTTTCATATTTTTCAATTCTGTTAAGCTTTTTTATATTAGAATTTTTTCGCTTTGTTTTTTCGCTTTTTTTCGCTTTTGTTTTTCGCTTTTGTTTATATCCGGTATTTGAAGAGAATTTTGTTTTGTTTTATTACATCATCATCATTTTTTTATGCATTTTTCAAAATGTGGAAAAAGAAAAAAATATTAAATTTCATATTGCATACTTTGCGATCATCATCAACCATTGTCAAACAATGGCTGAACGAAATGGAAATGAAAGAAAACAATTGACATTCAGCAAAAACAAAGAAAAACTAATGAAATTGTCACAATATTATTTGTATTTCATTTCCCTTTCATCTAATTCAATTTTCGTTTGATGCATTTTATGATGATGGAATTCAGTTGAAAACAAAACAAAACTTGAAGAGATTTTTCTTCTGTAAAAAAAATTATTTTCATTTTCAGGAACAAACAAAAAGCAAATCAATTCTGTGTGTGTGTTTATCTTTCAAGGATTTTCTCTCTTTGTTTGTTTCAATGACAATTCGATTGATCATTTTTTTCGTTTGTTCATATAAAAGAATATTCTGTTCTGCCTGTAAAAGAAAAAAAATGAAAACAATAATCAAAATGATAATGACAAATTTTGTTCATTTGTTTTTGTTTTTTCCCCTTATTACTTTTTTGTTTTTTGAATGACATTTGTATGTTTGTTTTTGTTTGTATATTCAATTGATTTATGGATTTTTTTAAATCGATTCAATTTTACTATAAGGGTGATTTTTCATTCTGGCAAATCAATGATTTTCATTCAATTTTTTTCGCTGATGCTAAAAAGAAATGAATGTTTTTTCTCCCCTTTAAATTCAGCAAATCTCGCCATAATAATCATATTTTTTTTGATTCGAGGTAAAATCAGAAAAAGAAGTTTTTTTTCAAATACTGATGCGATCACTATATCGATCATTTTATATTACGAAAAAAAGAAAATATTTTCTTGGGGATTCTCCGGAATCTTTAACATTAGCGAAAACAAGCAAGGAACAACAAGCAACAAGGAACAAAACGAAAACACAATAAATGAGAAAAAAGCAGAATAGAATACGTGTATTGAATCACGAAATATCATTGCCATTATTTTGTTTTTCGGGGCTTTAAAAAAGACAAAAAAACTGATCAAAATTCTGCCGATCAACAACAGAATCAAGTTAATACAAGAAAAAAAAACAACCACCCGACTGATCGAACCGAATATCGATATCGATAAACATACATACATACACTCCTTTTTTTCCTCTATTTTGTCTTGTTTTTCTCGCGAATATATCCAAGTATTCATTTGTTGTTGTTGTTGTTTATATCATTTATAAAATGAATGATAAAGCCACGCCAAAATCAAAAAAATATTACATAATAATAAACATTGGGACCAGTGTGGACGCCTGACTGAACATAACAAACAAAAAAACATTTGGGTAAAAGTCAGAATGAAAAACCTGGGACCCAGAAAATAACATACACACACACACAGATTCTGATGGTATTTTTTTTCTATTGTTGTCGTTGTTTCAGGATAGCAAACAAAAGAAAAAAGACAAAATGTATTACTGTAATGCTGATTTACAATAGTATTTTACATTTCATTGTTTTTATCGTTCAATTCTTTGCCATTGGTTAATGTGTTGATTGGATTTCTTTTTTTTTAAAGAAAATATTGTTGTTTATTAGATTGTTTGTTTCAAACATTTCTCTTCGTTTTTGGAATGAATCTTTGTAGATAATTCTGTATATATAGAATGTGTCAATATGATTTTTTTTGTTTCGTTTAATCTCTAATCACATTTTTTCTTATTTTTTTCAAATAAACCTTCATTATTATCATCATCATTTAGGCCTGGTGGAAAAACATTCTGTATGGTATATGCATTGGCTGGTATACCATTAGGATTAGTTATGTTTCAAAGTATTGGTGAACGTTTAAATACATTTGTTGAAAAAGGTTTAAAACAATGTAAAAAATGTTTTCGTTGTAAAAATCAAGAGGTTAGTTTTTACTTTTTTATAATATTTTTGAAAATTTGATGATGTTTATTAATGTTTGATGTTTGTTTGTTTTTAATATTTAGGTATCTGAATCGAATCTAATATTATTTGTTATGTTATTATCAACAATTGTAATGACAACCGGTGCTGCAATGTTTTCTGCATTTGAACAATGGAATTATTTTGATGCCTTTTATTATTGTTTTATAACGCTCACAACAATTGGTTTTGGTGATTATGTTGCCTTGCAAAAAGATCGTGCCCTACAACAACGACCAGAATATGTTGCATTTTCATTAGTATTCATATTATTTGGTTTATCCGTTGTATCAGCTGCAATTAATCTTCTTGTATTAAGATTTTTAACATTAAATACTGAAGATGAAAGACGTGATGAAGCTGAAGCTGCCACTGCCGCACAAACTGCTGTTAGATTAGAAGGTGATGTTATAACAGCAAATGGTTCAATACTTGGTTCAGAAGAACAATTACAAAAACGTGATGGTGAAAAATATACCGGTTCAGGTTTAAATGATGAAAATATTTCTGTTTGTTCTTGTACTTGTTATGGTAATTCATCAACACGTTATTGGAATGCAAGTACATCTCGTTCTTATTTAGATGATAATAATCCAACAAGACCATTAAAAACACCACCATCATCAACATCATCACCAAAAGTTCGTATGGTACGTTATTATTATAATGGTGATTCATTACTTGGTATGGATATTAAAGCATTAGGTGATAATTATGATGGTTATGAAAAAATTGGTAAAAAAAGACGTAAAGAACGACTGAAAAATGATTTATTTGGTTCATCTAGTGGACAAAGTCATCATCATCATCATCATCGATCAATATTATCACGGTTGACCAATAAATTTGGCCATCATAATCATCATCAACCTTCATCATCAAATGATCGTAGTACTAATCGACGATCAATATCTTTTGCAACTACATCTGCAACATCGACTAATCGTCGATCAAATGATCATTCGGTTATGCAACAAAAACAACAACAACAACAACAACAAGAACAAGGATCATTGATTCGTAAACGTAACAACAAAAACAACAATAATAATCATCATCATCAAACCACACAAAAATCAAAATCAACAATAACATCCAACAATCATGATAAAGAATTGTATAGTTTAAAAGATTTTAATACTAATGTTTTACAACAACAACAACAACGACCAACAACAAGCAATGTTCAACAACAACAACAACATTCTCCTAAACATCATCATTGTTACAATGATGATGATGATGATGATGATTGTTATCTAGACGATGATGATGATGGTGAACATCATTATTATCATCAGCATCATCATCATGATAATCATTTGAGAGAATCATCATCACCACCATTACTATTATCATCGCCAAATGATGATAATGATAATGATAATTATTATTGTCAATCGATTGATCATAGAATTGTTGATTGTAATATTAGTAGTAACAGTGGCCTATTGATGACAACAACTATAACAACCGGAACTATAACTGCATCAACAACGATAACCAATATTTCACCAGTGCCTCAATCTTCTTATATTCAACAACAACAACAACAGCAACCATCACATACATCTTTGATTTTTCTTCCATCATCATCATCACAACAACAACAACAACAATCAAATCTATTACTTTCTCATCAATCGAATTATCTTTCAGCTCATTCATCATCATTTTCATCAACAACATCAGCATCGGTATCAATATGTAGCCGTGAACAACAACAACAACAACAACATTGTGAAACAACATCGATTGCCCAAACAATTCGTGATAGATCTTTACGTCATCATTCTTATAATAATAATAATGATGATAATTGTGCCACTATCATCAACGCTACTACCAATGTTAACCATCAAAATGATCAACCAAATAATGATGATGATGATGATCCAACAAAACGAGCATCAATTTGACGCAATGATGATGATTCATTCGATTGATGATTAATGAATATGGAAATATATCATCCACCAGTGATGGTGGTGGTGGTGAAAAAAGAAATTCTTGGTTCACTGAATAAATGTGAATGTTTTGGTTTTCTGGTTTGAACGTATATCAGAAGAAAAAACAAGCAACCGAATTTGAAGCAAATAAAAATCTTCTGTTTTATGGTTTTCAAATCTGAAATTCGCTTCCCGAACAAATTCACTAAATTAGGGCTTCGAATCCTATGATGACACAATTGATAAAACAATCGTCAATCGATCAAACAAACAAAAAATTCAATGAATAAAAAACCACGTGTCGTCGTCAATCATATGTAATTTTATGTTTCAAATTTTTTATGTTTCTAATTTCTTAAAATGGTGATCATTTTTTTTTGTTTTTAATTTTGACACTGGTTATCTATAGAGAAACAAAAAAAAACCAATTTTCTTTTGTGTTTTTACGTTTATGTGTTTGTGTGTTGTTTTATTGTTGGAGGATATCAAGAGAATTTGCACATCGTTTTTTTCACCCTGAAAATAATGATAATTTTATGTGGTCACATTGCACTTGCATGATTTTGATTTTTGATTTATGAATTTTGTTGTTGTTGCTGTTATTATCGTTATTGTATTCTTATTTGTCACTTGTTGTATAAAAAAAAACATTGTACAAAATTCAAAACAACCAACCATTTTTTTTGGGGGGGGGACACAAACAATATATGAAATGAAATAAAATAAATGTTACAATTAATTACAACTTTCGATTATCAACAATTTCGTTATTTATTTATTTAAATGTCATATTGATGTTTACCATGTTTGCGTGTGTGCGTTTGTTTGGTCAAAATATTCAAAATAATCGATCATTAGATCGATCGATTCGATGAATTCATTAATCATTTATTCATTTTTTTACCTCGATTGTCTGGTTTTTTGTTCGTTCATTCATTGGTGGTGGTGGTATTACGTTTCGATTAATTGACGTAAAAGTACTTATGTGTAACACACACAATGATGATGATAAATAGATGGCCAATGATGATAATGATGTATGTGATGGTAATCTATTGAAGAATTCAAAGAATTTTTCTTCTTTCTTTTTTTGTTGAATTACACTTTTCATGTCAAATCAACCAGGACAAAAAAAAAATAAAGATGGAATGTTTGATCAACAATATCCAAATACATTCCATGGCAATTATCATTTTCATGTCAGTGTGTGTATAATTGGCACCCTTTTTTGTTTCATTTGATGATTCTGTTTGTTACTCCATAAATATTCTCCAAATGTACATCCAGCACGATGATGACATAACCAACCTATAATTAAGTTGGTACAGATATTTCGCAAATTTTTCTTTTTTTTTTCATTTTTTTAATGAAATATTTTTTGAAATCAATATTAAAAAAATTTGTAAAATTCTTTTACCAAAATGAATTACAAAATGGTCAATCATCATTTTTTCTCAATAATAAATTATTTGACGATGATCCTGCCATCTGTTGATTGATATTTCAACTTCAATTTTTTTCCTATTTTGACAATTGGAAAAAATTAATAAAAGTTTTCAATAATTTTTATATCAAAAAATTTTTGATATAAAAATTCTGAAATTCTTTCCAATTAAAATGACGCATTTAGATTTTTTTTTTTTTGATTGCTTTCGTTTTTTCGTCCAATTAATTCCAAAGAAAAAGATATGACGTTGACGACTGAGTGCAACTGTACAGCTGTTTTGAAAGAATTTCATCAACCTGTTTTATTTGTTTTTTTTCGTTATAAACAGGTAACTAACTAACTAATTTCAAGGTGTTTTCTATGTCAGTATTATAAATTTGAAAAAAAAATGTTTTTCAAAATTGGTTAATGGAACCAATTTTGGTATGTATGTAATATATGTTGTTGATGTTTCCATTGATCAACTCTTTCTTTCTTTCTCTTTTGTTTTTCAGTACACCTGTTTCATTCCAAAATCATTTCCGAACATTTCACCATTTTTGTTGCCACAACAATAAATACCATAAATAACTACATATATGGCCATTTGAAAATTGGAAAAAACAATATTATCACAAAAAAATCTTTGTAAAAGTTATTCGTGAAAAACTTTCACTTCAAATTACATATTACCGCCACCACCACCATTACCCAGAAAAATCTCATGAGAATTCTATATCGGATTGATTCGATTGAAACACGATCAAATTATTATCTTCTTTTTTTCTTTTTGGAAAATGTGTATGGATAACATCTATATATAAACGTGGCATCGTAAACTGCTTCTGCTTCTTTGGCTGATGTTTGCACCGTTGCAAAAAATATATTTATTTAGGCTCTATATATCTTTGGAAACATTCATTCAATTCATCCGACTATATTGGAAGCGAAGAGGTAGAGTATATTTTCTGTTGTATATGCATTATAAATGTTTTTAATCATCGATTTGTTTTCCTGACTGCCTGTTTGGTTAGTTAGTTAGATAGTTGTTGTTGTTTAATCGCATCCATTTCGATGAACGTCACGATCAAAAAAAAAAAAAAAAAACTCTTGGCGACAGGTTTTTTAATGGTGGTATTTCTGTTGTTGTTGTTGTTGTTCATATGATGATGGTAATAGTATACTATGCTATGGGCGCCATTATATCCTATGATGATGATGATAAAAAAAAACTACTCCTGTGTTGTTGTTGTCTGTTTATTATTCTTATTTTTATTAAACTATAAATGTAAATGCCAGGAATTGATTTGACCATCAAAAAAAAAAAAAAAAAAAAAACATTGCAACAACCCTGCCTTTGAAACAAACAAAATGTGCATTTCTTCATTGATTTCTCTGCTACATTCATAAAATTATTTGCTTGTTTTTAATTTATTCCGTATTTTTCTTTCTTTTCTTTAATCATCGGCAATCATACGATTTGATTTGATTTGATTCGATTGAGTGCAATTTTTGTTTTTTGTTTTTCATTTTTTTCATTTTTTCGTTTCGCCAATTTAATCCGAAAAAAAAACATTTCAACCAACCAACCGAAAACCAATAGAAACAAACCAGGTAATGATTTTAAAATGAACAAAAATCTATCTGGAATTTACTTTCATTAATTCAATCAAATTTACAAAAAAAAAATTGTTTTTGTTTGTTGTTTTTTTCCAATAATCATCGAAACGGAAAATAAAAATCTACCATATCAGATCAATAAGTGTCTGATCAGTGTTTTTGTTTTTGTTGTCTCTTTTTTTTTTTGTGATAAAATTTTTTAGTGGTGCTTGCATAATTTTGTTGTGTGTGTGTGTGCTAAACCTATTGATAACCCGCTAAAACTCTATTTATTTTTTGATTTTTTGGTTATTTTTAAAAATAACCACAACAACAACAACAACAACATCAAGGTTGTTGAATAGCAAAATAACAACATTCGATTTTCTTTTGTTTACTTTATTATTATTCGTCTATCAGCAAATACTATCAGCAATGATAAAAATCAAATTGCAAAACCATACACACCATACAGACATTTGATATATAATCAGGTTATATATGGTTTATTATGACTATGTTGTCGGTTGTAAATTTCAATTTTGCAATCTGAAAAAAACCAAACGCAACATATGATTTGTCTGTGTTAGTCTGTGTTTTGTTTTTTGTGGCTTGCTTGATTTGTTTTTGATTTCAATTTCGACAATTTTGACAATTCAATCAATCAATCAAACAACGAATTATGAACGAGATCAATGTACCGACAAAATTATCGGTTAAAACCGATCAACAATTGGATTCGACAAATGATGGACATCAAATAATCAATGATAATGATGGTTCATGTTCATATTATTCATTAACATCATCAACATCGACATCTACGTCATGTGATAATTTTCCACTAAATATTGCATCTGATTCAAATAATATTGAATTTTATAATCATAATCATCATATTTCATATGAATCATTGAATAATAATGATAAATCATCATTTATAAATCATTGTTTAATAACTACAATTAATATGGATCAATATGAAAATAAGAATGATGATGAAGAATGTATTATACATGTATTTCATAAAATTGAATCATTATTAATGTCAAAATATCCTGATCATTGGGAAATGTTGAATTATTTATTTCGTGATGAACAATGTAATAATATTGTAAAAGCAGAAAAATTTATTACAAATGATTGTTTATGTGAATATATTTGTCTGTTACAACAATTATTTCGATTGAAAAATAATTCCGAACAAACAAATGATGATCAAAGAGATCAACAAGAAATTTATAATCGAATACGATTATTTTGTAGAAAATTAATGGCTAAATATCCTAATATTGTTTCAATGTTTATACCACAATTAGCAAGTCTATTGAAAATGAATAATATTGATAATGATAATTCAACAAACAATGGTGTTGGACCTAATCTTTATTTTTCAAATGTGATTAAAACAAATTTATTCTATTCAGATTCAAATCAAATTGAAGTGCCTATATCCGATAAGGATTTATATCAATTAATCAATTGGCTATATCCAGGTTATAATCTACCAAAACTTTTTCAATTTATTGAAAATGCACGTCATATTTTGAAAGATGATTTAAGCCATTTATTTAACAACCAAAACAACAACAACAACCAAAAAAATAATCATTATCTAAATAATGGTAGATCTTCATCTCGTACCGATCCATTTAGTTTACAATATACAATGCCTATTATTGATCATTTGTTATTGTTTATTTTGCATGAAAATCCACCATGTAAACAAAGTAAATCAACAACAACAACAACAACAACAAATTACAATACAAATGATAATATAAATGTTCAAGCAAATAAACGTATGATTGTTTTTTGTTTACGTGCAACAATATTTGAACAAACATTACAATGTTTTAATCATTGGATTCAACAATTTAATGCAAATATTATTAATACTAATAATATTGATGATAAACAACAACAACAACAATCATCAACATCGATAAATGGTAAAGATTGTCATTTGTCATCTGTGGATAGAAAAGATAACATTGATGGTAATGATTATAATGGTAGCCGATTATGGTCATCATATCTTGTTAATCAATTATATAGATTGGCCATTGATCTAGCATTGTTATGTTCATCATTTAATCATTTGGATTTAGTTAATCAATTTTTAAGTCTTCATGTTGCTGGTATGTTTATTGATGATGATTTTTTGTTTTTGTTCATTTTGATTTTTTTGCCCATTCAATTTTATCATCAATTCAATGTTGACAAACAAATATAATTTCTTAAATGATACAAAAAAAAATACATTTTGACTTTGACATTTAGTTACATTTATTCATAAAATCATAGTGATATCATTAGGCAATGTACCAATTTCATTTTATCATCATCAAAGTAAAAAAAAAGTATTTCATACATTCAATCAATCAATCAGGATAATCATTATTTAATTTTGATTATCCACATGATGATATCCACGTAGTACATTTTTCTACTAAGAAAACAAAAAATGTATCAAAATTATCATTAATGTTTATTTCCGATTTTTTTTCCTTCTTCTTCTCCTTCTCCTTAAATACAGATCTCGATTTAACAGAAAATTTAGAATGTGCAATGAAAGCAATAAATTTTGAATTAAATGATGAAAATGGTACAATGTTTAATGAACATCATTATTTACCTGCTGCTGTTGGCCAAACATTAACCGATAATCATCAACAATCATCACAAATTGTTGTTATTGATCAATCGGATTCCCTTGATGATGATGATGATAATGATTCATTAGATTCATTCAATATGCAACTTCAACCAGAAAATTCTAATAATGATAATGATAATGATACAAATAATGATTTAAATCAAATGACATTAATGTTAATCAAACGACAATTATTGGAAAAAATACAAATGAATGGTCAACGTTTAGAAGCACCAATCAATAATCGATGGTCATTTGATGAATGTTGTATTTGTTGTGAAAATCGTTGGCTTCTTAAACGTATTTGTTGTTGTTCATCTGGTGCTTGTTTATCTTGTTTAAATCGTTATTATACTGAACGAATTCGAATGGGACAATTAAGTATTGAATGTATTGGCCCTGGTTGTAAATCATTAATCTATCGTGCTGAAGTATTGGCACGTTTAAATGGTGATAATAAAGCATTATATGGTAGATTATTATTAAGTCAATCAAATGAATCGGATAGAATTCGACCATGTCCACGTTGTAATCGTTTATATACATTATCAAGTAAACATCATACCAAAATGAAATATGTTGATAGAAATTTATTATTTAAACGATTATTGATGTGTGGTTTGGCAGCTCGTTTATCAGCAAAACAATCCAAATCCTTCAAGTAAGTCGATTATTACGATACAAGACAGGATATTCGAATCATTTTTTCATTTTTAATTTCAGAGTAAAATGTGAAGCATGTCATTATGATTGGTGTTTTAAATGTCATAGTCCTTGGCATGAAGGTAAACATTTGCAAAATTTGTAAATACATTATGAATTGATCAATTTTCTATTATGTTAGGCATTTCTTGTAGTGATTATATTCGTGGTGATCGTTTGCTTAAAACCTGGGCTAAACATTCTGATTTGATAACTGGTGATGTTAATGCTCAAAAATGTCCAAAATGCAAGGTAAATCAAATCAAAAGTAATTATTTGATCATATTAATATACCCACTCTAAATTCATTGACAGATTTATATACAACGTATAAATGGTTGCGATCATATGCATTGTATTCGTTGTAAATCGGATTTCTGTTATCGTTGTGGTGATTCTATTCGTCATGTTCGTTTTTTTGGTGATCATTATTCTCGTTTTAGTGTTTTTGGTTGTAAATATCGTTATAAACCGAAAAATCCATTACAAAGAAAATTTGTTCGTGGTGCTGTATTGGGTAGTAAATTAATGGTATTACCTGTTTTGACTACTGTATGTCTTTGTACTGGAATTTTAGTTCTTGCATTTGGTGTTGCTGCTATGCCATTTATTGGTGGTATTTATTGTTATAATTATGTTCGTAATCAACGTCACCGTACAATGGTACATCTTTATAATTATAGCATTAATCGTCAAGATCGCCATATCCAACATCCACAGAATCCACGTACAATTGCCATTATCAATGATGGAAATAATCAATCTATTTCTTCATCGGATATTAACAATGATCATCAGGATAATAATATTGTTGTAATCAATGTTAAAGATTGGCAATCTATGTATGTAGAATCACTTCCAGAAAATATTACAAAAAACAATGATAATGTTGATTCTTAATTTTGTTTTCTGGTTATCTTCATCCATACATTCATTCATTCATTCATTTTGTTTACTTTGCCATTTGTTTCCATTTTAAAATAATCACATCGATACCCATTCCATCGAATTGTTAATATTTGTGATCAATTTTTTTATCATTTTTTTCCACCTAATTTTCAATTTTATGATCTCGACACTGTTTACAAATGTTTGTGTGTGTACTTCACTTGTTGTTATTTGACTTAATTTGTTTTGAATTTTCAAAAATTAAAATTTTCAAAAAAGTTTTTAGAAATCTTTATTTTATTTGTCAATAGATGGCGTCATTGACAGATTTACTATAATTTTGTTATTATCAAAGTAAAATATTTTGTGATGAATTTTTAATCTTCTGTGTGAGTTATTATTTTAGATTAAAATTTCAAAAACAAAAAAAAAACTAGAAATCGAATGAAAACAATTTCCTCGTTGTTTACATTGATTTTTCCATTTTGATAAGTTCAAGAATACCATCTTGCATTTCTTTAACAGCTTGATATTCTGTAAGACCCATTCGTCGTTTGTTACTAATATCATAAATACCACCAACACTTTCAGTATGTTCACCGGCTGTACCACGAACTTGAAGATTATAACGACCAGCAACTTCTTCCAATTTTTTACGATCAGCTGCCAATTTTGGAAGTTTAATATGAACCGAAGCACGAATTGTTGTACCAAGATTGGTTGGACAGAATGTCAAAAAACCAAGACGATCATCACGAGAGAATGGAATCTTTTGTTCAATGTGCTTGACAGCCTATTCACAAAAAACAAAAACAAAAAAATCTTAAGATAAATCACTCAAAATGTAAGGTTATTTTTTACCTTGACCAAACGTCCATAAACCTCTTTAAGATCGCCACCTTTTTGCATGGAAATGATACGCAAATGATCTTCTTCATTGACCCACATCAAGAATGTTTTTTTATCATTATGGAAGATACCACGACCAACTGGCCAATATCGGCATGCATTAGCAGCTTGCAAAAATCGATCACCTTCTTTGAACAAGAAATGATCATCGATCAATTGTTGTTGTGTTGCTTTATCCATGCCCAACAATGGATAATAGGTGCCTTTCAATTCACCTTCGAATGTAGCCAATTGTCCTTTTACTTTGGTTTCCATTTCTTTGTATTGCTAAACATTGAAAATTGAAGAACATGAATTTAAAAGAAACATTCCGTCAACAAAAAAACGAACTTACAGCTTCAGTTAACATTGGATTGAATGGATAACCATTCAATGAACGTCCACATCGAACACGAGTAGAAAGAACATATTCATTTTTAGGATCAACATTAACAAAATTTTCAATATTGCCAAAATCGGTTTTTGGATGTTTATCGGTTGGTTTGAAACCTTTATGATAATCATCAATAATTGGATCAAACAAAGCAGCAAATGTTTTGTATGATTGAGCATCCGGTGCATAAATACCAACACCACTATCCAAATTTTCAACACCTGTTGAAAATTAATAATGTCATTAGTGGGAATGATCCAAAATAACAAACAAAAAGAATACTAACCAGATTGTATGACATCCAATAATGTAGCACCCATATCGGTTTTTTTATTTTTAAGCTGATCAAATACATCACGTGTTAAATATTTTTTCAATAATGAATGACAATCTTGAGCATTTTGTAATTTTTGGAAACCGGCTTCCAATTTACTAAGGGTAGCTGGATCAACCATTTTATGTTTTGGGCAGCTTTAAACACACACACAAAAAAATAAAAAATTAATAAGAAAAATTGAAATTTGGAATGAAATGTGAAGGATGATAAGTGATCAAGCAAATGGAATTTTAGTTAACACAAAAAATTTTGACAAAAATTCGAATCAATCAATGAATGAGGTGTTTTTCTGGTATAGCGTGCAGCATTTTTATATAAGAAACACGTTAGCAGAAAACAATGGCTTGAAAGGCTCTCTCTCTCTTATGGCTAGTCATCATTCAACCTACGCCCAAAAAAATCGAAATAAAATCACACCAACTACACTTCTAATGCTGCTGCCCCTTCACACAAATCAAACTTCAAAAAATCTGTTTTTTTTCTGGTAAACTAATGAAACACAACCAGTATATACAACCTGTGTATATATTGAAATATGATGCTAATAAACAAAGGGGGATGAAAAAATCATTGCCGGTTTGTCATAGCATAGCATAGCATGTGTGTATTGTATTACATTATCATCCATCCATTCAATTCATTCAACAAAATAGTGATTATTGAGAGAGAAGATCCTGGAAAAGAAAAAACTGACTTGACATTGAAAAAAATGTCAATCAAATCAACACAGACAAGTGTAGATGTATGTAATAATTCTTTATCAATCAAATCAATAAAATGAATGAATGAATGAATGTGAAGAAAGGAAAACAGCAGAAAAAATTTTCCATTTATTATCAATTTGACATAGAAAGAAAAAATCATTCTGTATAGTCATCCAAATGATGACAATTGACAATTGACAATTGGATTTTTTTTTGTGTTAAAAGCAATAATGTTGTAATAAAAATCAAATTATATAACATGTATTTAATCTAATCTAATAATAAAATTGTATAAATTATAAATTATGGTTATCTATTGTCAACGTAAAATTGTTGTTTGCACAACAACAACAACATATATCATAAAGCAATTAAAAGATTAAAATGGAAAATTTTTTTATTATTGAAAGATATAATGCGGGGGAGGGAGGGGTTAAGTTGAATTATGGCCTACATATAGACGATTATTTAAGCTAATAAAATGATAAGATTTTTTTTTTTTTTGGGGTAAAAAGAAACATAAAGTAGAAAAAATTCTCGGTAAATACCTAGATGGTTTAAGATAATAATATGCAGCAACCGCAGTTACAATACCACCAACGGCCAAAACACTTTTTTTCGATGCCATATTTATTTTTTTATTTTATTGATATTGACTTTTTTTTTGTTGGGATTACAAATTTGTAATTTTTTCTTTTAATAAAAAAATTATTATTTGATAGTTAAAAATCTGTAGGGGACAAAATAATAATAATAAAATCGGTTTTTAAAAATTTAAAATTTGTTTCGTTCATGCAACAGCAATCAGTTAACACAAACATCTAATTCTTCAATTTTCTTTCTAAGGTTTCTTTTTCTTCTTCTTCAGTGTGTTTCCATAAAGGATATTTAAAGGAGACATTGTTTTGTTTTATTAGATTAAATGTTATGTCTGTCAACATCCTATCACATCACTTACGCACACACACACCTACATTACTGCTGTCATTCAATTAAAATATTTTGGTTAATATCGGTTGTCATGGACAAGATTAAAAATCAATTCTAAATCGATCCGTCACTTATCAGGTAAATATGATTATTGTGGATCGATTGATGTTCATTCGATATTTGACCGGCATATGACCGGTATAATTGACCTGACTCTTGACTTACAATTCGTGTTGTTCAAGATATTCACGAACAATAATACACAATGAATAGAATGATAGCATTTGGTTTAGGTGACAAATGTGACAACAACAAGTTGTGATGAACAAAAAACAGAAAAAAAATGATGCAGATCAACCAGAATAGAAGGATATAATTATGTGATGTGATGGTTGGAAAACAGTAAATAGCGCCACTAACACACGTAATTCAATGTCAATTGAATGACAGCATACAATATCTCTATATTTTTAGATGATGATAATGTAATGGGAAAAGGAGAAGAAGAAGAAGAAGTTCTCAACAAACATACTAATATACAAATCATATAGCTATTTCTATATAATTTCAGGTGGCGATTTTTTTTTCTTTCTCAAAATTATTCTTGAAATAAATGAATGAATAATGCTTACCCGAAAAAAAATCCACTATAGAATTGAATTATTTTCTGATCGATCGATGGATGAAATCCCAGATACAAATGAATCTTTTTTCATTGAAAAAACTTTATTATACAGACATTTATTGGTGGGATTGAGGATTGAAAAAAATATCAAATCAATACAAGGATCATTGATAAAAGATAATTTGCTTATTAATAGTATTATAATTAGTAATACTGGTGGTGGGAATTTCGGGATAAGAAAATGATTAAAGAAGATACTAGTCGATACTAGTTGTTGTATTGTAATAATCAAAAAGATAGCCATTACATGTTTGTGATTTACGAAATATAGTTTTCATATCAGCTCCTGTTGCAATATAATTACCCGAATTTGAATGATTATTACTGCGACAAATATTTGCACTTGTACATCGATCACCTCGTAAATCGATTATCATATTATTATCATCAATAAATCCATAAGCAAAGAAATTATGTTTCATTTCTTTATCGAATAAACATAGCTTTTTGTACCATGAATCGCTATTCATCGAACCACATCGACCATTGAATTGATTAGGAAGAATTTCTGATGATATATTCTGATGAAGAATCTGACTATAATTTGAACCTAAAAATATAATCTTATCATGTAATTCTTCACTAGTGAATGGTCGCATTATAGCAAAACCAATATCGGCTAATGTTGATTCATTGATTACGTATATTGTTTTGATTCGAATGGGTAAACATTTATCCATAATATGAACAATTTTTTTTGCTTGACTAGGACCAAATTTACGTAGTTGACTCCAACCAAATCCAGCCATATCAATCACACAGATAATACCATTTATTTGTGTTACTTCATCACGAATAACATATTCCATACTCATTATGGCTGCAGCAATTACTTGATCAAAACTAAATCTTCGTGGTGACCATTGACCAAGTCGTAATAGAAATATGGTCTCATCTTGATTGGATCTATCATCCAATACGGTCATTGTATTATCATCAAATACACATTTCAATTGTTCGATTGGCATAAACAATTCTTGATGTCGACATTTTAATGTAAGATAATCACAAATCAATCGAAATGCTCCATCATAATCGAAACGTCGAGCACGAAGAAATCGTAACAAAAATGCATCATCCTGTCGACATTTTAACGAAGGTTCACCTGTCCAAATCAAACATTTCAATCAATAATTGATTCATTCATCAATGTTAAAACAAAACCTTGAATCATTTCACGTAATGCTTCGATATCTCGAAGACGCCATGCATCTTTTTCATTAACTTCCATTTCGGCTCGCATTATTAATTCTGGAGTCAATCTGGTAGCAAATGTTGTTGTCGTTGTTGTTTTATTGATTATCGGTTCCATAATAATATCTGATTCATTTTCAATCAATAAATTATCATTATTTGAAATGGGCATCGGATGATTGGCACCTATAGGTTTAACTTTATCCATTTTATTTCTCATCCGGAACTCAAACGTTCAATTCGTGATCATTTACCAAACACAAAAACAAACAAAAACAAAACTATGAATAGAATCGAGCAGAACAACCAAACAAAAAAGAGTAAAGTAAAAAAAAGAAAAACGATCCGATCCAAAAATAACAGTGGTGAAACAAAAATGACAAGATCAATGGCATCTATATGATTTTATTTCCTTGACAACTGCATGCAGTGTACATATTCTTTGTACGATTGCGCTTTAATAACCAAATAAATGAACGAATTTGAAAATTTCAATTTTTACCTAAAAATAAAAAATTACGAAACAAAAAAATAGAATCAGAATCAGAATTTCAGATTTTTAAAAAATAAAAGGTTTTTTTTTCGTAAAAAAAATTCATTCAAAATCAATAATTTTACTACTTTTTTTTTATAAAAAAAAAATAGATAGAGATAGAGATACTAAATGAGAGCCAGGATTTTTGTTTGTAAAAATGACAATTTAATCAATCAATCAATCAATGATTTGATCATCATTTAGTAGATGAATAAACAAATGATTGAATTAAAATTGCAGCAGTTGTAACCATACCAAATGAAATGGCTACTGGCCAACGATATCGATACCATAATGATTGTTGTTGATGATTGTTGCTGTTGTCTTTATTATTTGAATTTGAATGCTTACTTTTTTTAGTTTGATTGTTTTTCGTATCATCATTTTTTACTTGTAACATTCGTCGATATAATTCTTTTTGATCATTAATCTGTTTTATAAGAATTTTATTCAAACGATTTAATTCCATTTGAATTGCTTCCGATTGTGGATCGATTGTTGATGCTTTTTTCAAATCTTTTATTGCATCTTCAATATCACCTTTTTCGGACAATATTTTTGCATGACGAAATAATGCTTTAACATTATTCGGTCTTAATAATAAAGAATCATTAACCGAACGTAATGCTGTATCGAATGCATCCATTTTCATTTGAGCAGCAGCTAAATTATTAAATGTTTGTGCACGTTTATCGATTAAATCGTTAATTTTATCAACCAATTCAAGTTGTTTATCTTCACCACTATTTTCATTATCATTATCGATCAATTTCAATTCCTGATTATTAGCATCCAAATATTTTAAAGCACCTTTATAACATTGAATGGCCATTGAATATTCACCACGTTCGAACCAAAAATTTCCACGTGTTTTTTTATAATTACCAAATCTGAGTCGTTCATCCAATAGTTCTTTATTTGCAATCGATTCGGCTTCATCATCATCACCTTGACCGAAAACATTGTCACTGGGATTCGGTATTTCGAGCAATTCAATTTGACAATCAAGTGTAGCATCTTCAGGTATGCCAATATTTTTATTGCCGGATTGACCATATGCAAAACGTGATTTGATAATTGCTCTACAAACTTCATGTAATTCCATCAACGGTATCAATAGATCCAAACTTTGATGTAGATCATTATCACCGATTATAAGTGTAAATCTATCGAATGTTTCACCTTCGATCAATTTTCCGGTTCCAACATCTTGATCATCATCATCACAGCCATCAGCATAAAGACGAGTTTCAAGTTTGATAATCACTTTACTGCCACGTTGTGGTCGTACATTATCACCTTTTTTAATAGTTTTTTTTCGTAGATCACCATTATTAAGAATATCCAAATAGCCATCATTATCATCGACTTTTTCTTCTTTACTTTTCTTTTTGGAATCATTATCATCTGGAATAACAATATTTTTCTTCTTTTTATCTGATTGATGATTCATTTCTTTTTCAATTGTTTCTAATGGTGGCATCATTTCATCATTATTACTGCTACTATTATCACCATCATCTTCATCATCATCGATTTCGTTGTCAAAAGGAATGTTTTTATCAACAGCTTGTTGTTCCATTTGGACCGGGTTTTTTTTGTTTGTTTTTGATTTTGATATGGATGAATTTGATGTTTTTCGAGGAAAAACGCTTGAGTACAACGCAATTTGATAAAAAATCTTATTTATTTCTTTTGGAAACTTTTTTATACAGATAATAAACAAAACAAAAACAAGTATGCTCAATTTTTTTTTTGCAGTTATCCTTTTCAAAATTCGAGGCCATTCAACGAGAAGCCATATGATGATGATGAATATTGGACAAATCGAATGATGACGACCATCATGATTGAATTGTTGCTAGCAATCATCTAGCCACAGCTAGCTGTTAACAAAATAAATATGAAAAAAATTCATGCCAACTCATTCATTTACCACTGCTACTATCGAATGATAGCCGGCAATAACGGACGAGACTATCGATATCGTTGAGCAAAAAAAAAACAACCCCGCTAATCTTTTAAACAAAATCATTTTATTTCCGTTTAAAAAAGTTTGTTTTTTTAAAATTAAAATTTACAGGATACATTATTGATTGATGACTATGAAATCATTGGAACAATAACAGAAAATGTTAAAATCATAGCGGCAACAAAAATAAATATTGCCGATATTGTAAAACGAAGATTATCATATGAATTGGTCTGGCGTCGAAGTTTTCGAAATTTTAATTTACTGCTTTCAGTTATACTTGATGCGATTGATCTGAAAATTTTTGAAAAATTTACTTTACAAAGACAAATAAATTGAACCGATTGTAAACTTACCTGATTGTAAATACCAACATACATAAAAGGCAATAAAATTCCTGAATTTTTTCAATCATTTTACGACGCCATGTCCGATCTTCAAATGGTATTAATTTTTTAACCAATTTCTGATAAAATGATTGTATTTTTAACTTATTACATTTATTAATACTGTTGTTACAGGATAATTTTTCTTCATTATTCGATGATGAATGGCTATCATGATCAAAACAATGATTATTGTTTCCTTCATTATCATCCGCATGATCACTATCATCACAGCTATTGGTTGGTGTTGTTGATTCATTTCGTCTTTCAGTTTTGCATTCATTTTTATCCAATGATTTTGTTTCCTGTTTTACTGAACTTTGTTTTCGTTCATTATTATCATTATCATCATCATCGTTATCGGAAGCATATTCTTTTCGATCATCAATCGAAGTTAGTGTACGATTTCGTTGACGTAAAGAAATTTGTCGACGTCTTGCCATAGCAGCCATCTGTTCATCATCATCATCATCATCTTCATCATTATTATGATTATGATTATCATCATTATGATCACTAGCACTATCACTATGATTATCTTTTTCTTTTAATTGTCTGGCTGTTGCTTCATTGAATAGTTCTAATAATCTTGGTCGATTACGAATTTCTGCCGCCGGTACTGAAAGACGTCTTGTACGAAGATAATTTTGATTTGATGGACCAGATCCAGAACGACTTATTTGTTGATAACTAACCTGAATATTTTGTAATTGATTTGTCATCAACAATGAACTGATTCTTCTAGAATCTCTCTTCAGAAAATACAAACAAACGAAAACATCATTTTTTAATATTTTGACTTGATGTCTAAAAAAAACTTACATTTTTTGAACGTTTTCCACCATTATCAAAATCATTATAATCTTGATGATCATATTTACTATGTCCAGTATTAGCTAATAATCTTTTCATATCATCCAATTCTTTTGCATCACGTTCTTTTGAACGTTTAAGATTTTCAGTATGTAATAATATAACATCGAATGCAGTACTTAATTTTTCTTCTTGTTTTACTGAACCAAATAATTCTGAACGTGATGATATTTTCATCATTGATGCTTTTATAACTTGTACTTGCATATCAATTTTATCCAACATATCTTTTAATTCTTTTAATTGTATTAATGATGTATTATAAAAATATTTACTTTCACTACCTAATAATAATCTATATAATTCTTGTACATATTCATTTAAATGATTTAATTCATTTTTAGCATCATTTTCAGCAATATCACGTTGATGACGATATAATTGTACACGTTGTTCAAGGGTAAATTTATCCGTTTTAAATGCTAATGATAATGTATGAAATTTTGTATCAATTTCTTGTTCACTTAAGCTTTCAATATTACAGGTATTTTCACGTAATAAACATAATTTTCTAAGCATTACATCCGGTAATGATGGAAATATTTCTGTTTGTATTAATTCATTTGTTGTTGTTGTTTGACTATTGTTATTGTTATTGCAATCTACACTGGTTGTTTTTGTGTCTTCGAAATTATTATTGTTGTTATTGTTGTTACCATTCATCATATAATTAATGGTTGGTAATGGCATACCAAATGATTGTACATCATCAACAATATCACAGCTTGATATACGTTTTAATGAATGTTTTCGTCTCATTTTTAATTCATTTATTGTTGTTGTTGTTGTTGTTGTCGATGATAATTTATCATAATCAGTATGGTAGTTAAATGAATCAATTGAATTTTGATTCAATAATGATTCCTTTTTGTTTCAAAAAAAATTACAACAGTAAATTCAGTTTTTTCAACAAAAAATCAAATCAAATCGAAATGTTACTCACATCCAATGTTGATTTGTTTTTTGCTATCGGAATTTCCAACGAAGATGATAATGACGATGTTGATGGTGTTGTTGATTCGGTTGATGATTCTAGTTTTTCCGTAATGATAATTTCGTTATTTGTTTTAAAATTTTGATTATTTTCATCTACAACATTTGATTCTTCACTTGTTGAACAATTTGTTGATTTTAAACTAGGAAATTTTTTGCAGATAAAAGAAAGCAAAATGAACAAAATTAAACTAAATCAAATTATAACCAGATCTGGTTTGACACAAACACAACAACACAATGTCAATAATATTGAACAAAAAAATGCAAAGTCACACAAGTGAAATGAATGAATGAATGAATCTATGTGTTTGCCTTGATATGAGGAAATTTGATTCGAATTCAGATTCAGATTTTTCTTTTTAGAGGATCTGATCTACTATTGTCTCATCGATATAAACTAAACTAATAAAGATAGATAGATCAACGATGCAAACTTTTCATAACCGTTTTTTTTTTGTTTTCAACAGAATTTGCAATCACCAAAATGCAATTAGATGACCATGACATTGGAAAATCAAACACACAAACACATTTGCTGATGTTGATTTTTATAAAAATCCAATCGGTGAATAATTTAAAACAGGCAAAATGCACAGACAAAAACAACATTTTTTACAGCTTACAGCAAGTGATTACAAGCAAAGAAGAGATTGAAAATTCAAAATGAAGAAAGTAGAAAGAAAGCAAAAATCAATTTCATCAATGAATTTTCAAGGTTTTTTTTTCTTCTTCTTCCAAAATTTAAAGTAATAACATACCATCATTGATTGAAAATTCTGCTGTTTTTTCTATGTGTTGGTAGTGTTATCAAGATAATGTGATTATCATCATTTTGGTAACCGAAAACAAAAATAAATGATGATTTATCTCTCGTTTTTCACTTAGTTAGTTGGTTGAAAGAAAAAATTCAATTTGAAAAAATCCTTTGGTTCTTCTTCTTCTTTTTTTCCAAGAAAATTCAATCAACAAAATGAATGTAAATCATCATCATCATCTTTTTCAAGAAACATCCAAATTACATTACATTACACACTGCATTGGTAGAAGTAAAACGAAGAAAAATTCCAGTTTTTCAAATCCATGGTCAATGCATATACAACAAACAAGCAAACATTAAATGTCTCCATGCTTGTCACTTGAATTAGTTATTTTTCAAGCTTATTTTTAGTTTAAATGTGAATGAAAAAAAAATGTGTTTCAATTTCCATCCGATAATGTTGCTGATTATCAGGAAAGAGAGAGGGAAGAGAGAGAATCGATAATATTGACGCAAACACACATTCAAGCGTTTTTATTCGCTTTATAAAAATGCTAATTTTTCTTTTTTTTTGGAGGGGGGTAACAAAAAACCTTTTTTTGATTATCAAATATCAAGTGCAAATTTCGTACATTCGTGTGTGTGTGTGTGTGTGTGTGTTGATAATGGAAGAAATTATCAATCGAAATATTATGTTAATTAACAAGGTGATTTGGCTAGATATTCAACAACAAAAAAAAACTTGTTGGATTGCACTGAAAGCACCTGTTGTTATTATTATTATTGATCTGAACTACTGAATTTCTGACCAAAAACAAGCAATTCTAAAGCAATTCAACAAGATCTTTTTCAAATAAACATAGATCATTATCACACTTCCTAAACATTGAAGAAAAAAAGAAAAACATTTATGATTGCTTCATCGAATGCAATTTGGAATTCTTTTTTCATAGACAATATTTTTGTTTGTTTGTTTTGTTTTGTTTACCCCTTCACAATCAATCAATAATCAATAATCATGTAATTCATTCGACAACCTTGAAAAAAAATGTTAAAAGTAAATATTTTTCATTCAATAATTTTTCTTTTTTCATTTGAAATGATGATAATTACCATCATTAGTGTGCTGTTGTTTGTTTGTTTTGTTTTCAAAGATTGTCAACAACCAAACAAAAATTAATAACTTGTTGTTGTTATTATAAATTTTTAACTTACCTGAAAAATTGTTGTTGTTGTTGTTGTTGATGATTATTATGATAAGATGTTTGCCCGTATGATAATGAATCTAAATTATTATTTAATTCATTAATTTTTATTTTAAGTAAATCAATTTCAAAATCTTTACGCGAACATATTAAACGATAATTATCTTCAAGTTCATTAAATATTTTATAATTATTTTGTTTTAATTCTGTTAATTCTTTTTGTACATTATTATAACATTGTTCAATTTCGGTTAAATATCTACATGTTGTATTTAGATCATTTAATTTTGTTTCACGTTCGATTAGCTATTTGTAAAAACAAAAAAGAAAGAAACAAACGAAAAAAAATCATTCAAAATCATCGTTGTTTATATGTTGATCTTTTTTTCGCTTTGTATCGCTTTGTTTTTTTGTCGCAACGCAAAATTTTGTACATTCGACCGACAATCCAAGTTCCGTTTGATTAATTTTTCCAATTAATTAATTACATTTTATATGTCGTGTTTGTTTGTAATCAGATTGTGGATTTATAAAATTTGACTTACTTGTTGTTTTAATAAATTAATATCCTCTTGATGTAAACGTTTTTCAATTTGTAATTCATATTCTTTTAAACGTAAATCATTAATAATTTTTTCCATATCAATAATATTTTCTTGTAATGTTTCAATTTCATCTTCACGTAATTGAATTTTTTTCCTAAATAATTCATCATTTTGTTTCAGTTGTTTTTGTAATGATAAATTTTCATTATTTAAATCAATTATATGTTCGTCCATATATAATAATTTTTTTGTAATTAAATTTATTTTTTGTTGTTGTTCAGCTACTTTTATTTCATATTGATCATTCAAATTTGTATTATCGTTGTTTCCCAGTGGATTATCATCATCATCACCATCATCATTTTCATATTTAATTACCAAATCTTGATTATAATTATCCATTATTATTATAAAGTAGTTAGTTAGTGTGATTTTTTATAAAAATCGTATAAAATTTCACTTACAATTATCATTATAATCATTAATTTCGTTATAATCATCATCCATTTTTTGATTTTTTTCAATTGTTTTTGTTAAATCATTCGAATTGTTATTGATATCGGATGTTTGTATCGAATTATCATTATCCAAAGTTTTTGCTAATATTGTCGGATTAGCCTGTTGTTGTTGCTTGATTGTTTCGGTGATTGTTGATTGTTTTGTGGTTGTTATGGATAATAATTGTTCATCAACAACATCATTGTTGTTGTTGTTGTTGACATTCAGTTGTTGGCAACTATTATTATTATTATCATTATCGATTATTGTTGAATATTTATTATGATTGATTAATGACAAATTATCATCATCAACACTAGTTGTAACTTGTTGTAAAATATCATCATTGATTTTGATTGATGATGATGAATAGGATTTCATATTACCAACAACAAATGGTTGTTGTTGATTTTCAATGTCCAAAGCATTAGAATCCGGTATCAGAATTGTATCAGAATTTTGTATCGAAAGATTTACCAAACTGTTTTTGTTTTTGTTTGCCATTATTTTTCTACCAATATGCCATGGCATTTTTTTCGTTTTTCTTTCAAAATGAATGAATGAATGGAATAGCACAATATTGAAATATTGGGAAGGAAACTTATTATTATAGAAAATTCTTACCTTTGATTAACCTTATTATCATCATCATCATCACTTTTCAATACCATACTAACTGAATGTCGTAAAAATGATTTAAAATTCTGTAATTTTCGTCCAATAACATTTGGTAATAATTTTGTTGAATGGTTTGTTTCGATCATTATTATTATTATTATAGTTCATTTATGTAAACTTGTTTAAAAAAAAAAATTCAATGAAATTTATATAAAATTTTAAAAAATTATTTTTTTCAAAAAAACCAAATTCACACAGACAACACTCTTTCTTCTTTTTGTCGAAAAAAATCCAGTTTATCACATTACGTCATGTTGTTGTCGATGAGGATGATGGTCACAATGATGATGATTGTTTGGTGATCATCATCATAACATTGGTTTATTTTGTGGTTTGGTGTTTTAGATAAACAATAAAATATCAACAACAAATGTATCATAGAGAGATAAAATCCAACTGGTTAAGGTAAAAAAACAAAAACATCGAATACATCAATCAATCAAATAACAAAAAGTAAAAAAAAAAAATTGATGACAGAATTGAAAAAAAAATGGAAACTTGTTTATCGAAACTTTGATTTTACCATCAACCACACATAACAACAACCAAATATGATTGCAACATTACTGACCAGTTGTTGATCATATCAATCAATCAATCAATCCATTACGCGCGTGTTTTCATCATTATTGACGGATTTTCCATTGAAAAGAGAAATCACACAATGACGATATTCATTTTGAAAAAAAATCAATTTGTTTTGTTTTGACCGCTTTTTTTCTTTCAACTCAAAATATTTTCAAAACCAAAAATTTTTTTAACAAAACAGGAAAAACAACAACAACAATAATGAACGAATAAGGAAAATTGGTTCTTTCTCGAGAAAAAAAAATTCCCCATTATTTTTATCATATAGAAATGCGGAAAAATGTTTTTGTTTTTCAATATCCTGTTTGCAAATGACATTGTTGTTAAATTGTTGTTGTTTTTTTTTTGAAAAAAATACCTATCCTTTGTGGAAAATTTTTGAATTTTTTTTTTTTGAAAATAACTATCGATTGTATCGTACGATGTTGAATAGTTTATGCATGCATGTTCAGCTGACTTGAAACATACATTTTCTTCATTAATTTCGTTTTCGTTGTTGAAAATTTAAAAAGATGCATAAAAATGGAATGTCAAATCAACCAGGTCAACCACAATCAATGACCGGAATGAATCGTCCACCACCACCACCAGTATTGCCACAGCCTCAAGCATCAACACAAATGTTATCCAGTACTTTACAATCACATGGTGTTCCACATCCATCAACAATGCAACATCAAATTCGGCCGATGATGACCGGACAACAATCGATTACCGGACCAGGTATGCCACCATCGGTTGCAGTACAACAAATGATGGCTCAACAACAACAACAATCTATGATGTCACATGGTGGTACATTACAACAGCCACAATCACAAATGCCAATGGCATCACAAATACAGCCAACACAACATCAACCACCACCAAAACAGATACTTTGTCGTTTAGGTGCCGATACTGTTCAGGATATTGTTTCGAAAACATTAGAATTATTTCAACATTTACGAACATTAGGACCACAATTGATCAATACGAATCAACAATGCGAAGATAAAAAGAATAAAATCAAAGATATTATCAAACACATTGAAGGATTATTTATTCGATTAAGAAAAATCTACAATACTTGTAATGATCCATCATCGATTGATTATGTAGATCCAAAATCTTTGTTACCACTTAAAGATGATGATGATGGCGATAGCGACGAGGATGAAGAAAAACTTCATGTTAATGGACAAGATGGATTGGCCAATAGCACATCATCGATCACTCTACGTCCATTATTAAGTGAAGAAAAAAAGAATAATCCTAAACTGCAACAATTGGAAAAAGATTATCTAGATCTAGTTGAACTGAATCGATTAAAAAATCGTCAAATCAAAGAAATTATTGATCGTATTAGAAAAATGGTTTGGGATATTAATACAATGTTGGCAATGCGTCGACCTTAATCACCTTTTTTTTTTTGTTTTTTAATCATTGTAAATTTTCAACCAAACAACAAAAAACAAACATCATTTTCATTTTCAATATAATTATTTTCATTTTTAATAAAAAGTATTTTTTTAATTATCCGCGCAAACATTGATTTTTAATCAATTTTAAAATTTTTTCGTATTTCGACTATTTTAACTGAATCAAAAAAAATTTTTTGACACGTCGACTATTGCCACATGAATAACAAATTGGCAGACATTTCTTGATTGAAGCATTGTTTAAAAATTTTCCACGAGAAAAACAAAAAGGTAATTATGATCTCCGACGAAACATCGAATTTATCATCAATCCAACCTGAAGAATCGGAAAATTCAGTGGATAAAATTGATGATGAAGCAATGAATTTGATTTCGAATATCGAAGATGAAAATGAAATCAAAAAAGATCACGATGACAATCAAATTGTTGATGAGAATTCTTCGCTCGTTGATGTACAAGGTAATGATTCAACATCATGTTCATCCAATGTAAATCCAAAACCAGAAACAAATGATTTGATTAGTAAGAAAGAATTGGAATCTATTCGAATTAGCTATGAAGATAAACTTAAACAACAACAATTAGAATCAACACGTAAAGAAAATATGTTGATCATGAGATTGACAATTAAAGAACAAGAACTTCAAGAATGTCTGGTAAGATACAATGAATTGTTAAATGAAATAACAAATTAATGATGATATTTTGTCCATTATGATGAATCATAGGGCCAGATTGAATCATTGAAAAAATTAGATCGTCCATCAATCAGTCATATGGAATCATTATATTTGGATCCTGCATTGAATTATATATTCGAAAAAATGAAAAAAGAAGTCGATATGTCAAAATCCAGAGTCGAAGAAATGCAAAACGAAATGAAAGCATGGAAATTCAATTCGGACAGGTATGTAATTTTCTTTGTCAATAAACAAATCATTGATCCATTTATTTGTTAATCTATAGTATATCTGGCAAACAATTAATGGCTAAATGTAAACAACTTCATCAAGAAAATGAAGAATTAGGTAAAATGATTTCATCTGGTAAGATAGCCAAACTAGAAAGTGGATTAGCAATGGAAAAAAATTATGCCGAATCATTAATCAAAAGTCATGCAGATATGGAAGAAGTACTATATGAACTTGAAGAAAATGTTGAAGGACTTCAAAATACTGTATATTATATGCAACAAAATCTTAAACAAATGAAAGATCGAAATGAACAATTGGAAAAAATTATTGAAAATTGTGGTGGTCAATGTAAAAATGAACTCGATTCGATAGCCAATAATAATGATGGGGATGAAAAAAATGATAACCATCAACAACAACAAATGGTTACCGATTGATTTGAATTGTGTGTAAATAAATTTTTTCTTTTCAAAATGGATTTTATTATTATTATTGACTAGAGCGCTCTGAACAAACTGAAAAGTTAATTCGTACAAAATTTTGGCTTCTTTTTTGGTTTCATAAACCAAAAGTTTCATTTGTACAAAAACATGCAAACATCGATTTTAAACAAGAATGTCATTATAATAATGAAAAAGAATAAATTAATTGATTATTTTTTTTTGTTTTTCGTTAGCAAATAACAATCGTATATATATTATAAATATATTGAAAACTAGATGTGTGTGATGGACTTGGCTGGAAAAAAGAAAAATTGTCAACATTTTTGATGATGATGCATGATTTTTTTAGGCTGTGCCTATCTAATATAACAACAAAGAAGAAGATGATGTCTATCTATGGCCCGAAAAAACAATGACCAAATAATGAATGTGCTTGATGATTGATTTAAGGTTTCAAGATCTTTATGAAGACCAAACCGAAATGCTATTTTGTCGATGTTGTTGTTGTTGACCAGGATCATTTGAACTATTAGATTCATGATTAACCGAAACGATTGATGTGATTGGAACAATTGATGATGTTGTCGATGATATTGTATTGATAACATTATTGTTGTTAACGTGACTTGTATTTGTTTGTTGTTGTTGTTGTTGAGTAGTACCGTTTGGAGTAGAATCCGGTGCAACCTGTCCTAATGTCATATGGCTTGAAAGATCGGATAATTTTGCAACGGTATTTCGATTGTCATCATTGCTATTGATTAATGCAGTTGGATGTAATGCAGCAATCGAATTTAATTGATTCTGTGTCAACATTTGTATCTGTTGCAATTGTAATTGTTGTTGTTGTTGATTAGAAGAATGATGTTGATGGCTATTGGTATGATGATTTTGATGGCCATGACCATGTCCAGGATGTTGTTGTTGTTGCTGTTGTTGAGGATGGTGATGATTCGATGATGCTGCTACTGTAGCAATGTCAGGAGTAGATGTAACAGATATAGTCGGAACAGCAAAATGGACACCAGAGCTAGCGAATTCATTGGTGGTTGATATTGTGGCTTCAATTTTGATATGATCTTTTTCACGATGTTTTTTAAGTTTATCAACTTTATCAAAGATCTTATCACAACCAATATAATTACATTTGATTGTTTGATGTGTTGATTGATGACGATTAAGTTCACTTTTACTAAGACATTGAAAATTACAACCAGGCCATATACAGATTTGTTCTTTTTTTGTTAAATCTTTAAAATGAACACTAAGCTTATGATGACGTAATTTATCTGCACGTGAATATCGTTTTTCACAACCACCAACTTCACATACATAAGGTTTTTCACCAGTATGAATCATTCGATGACGATTTAGATCATTTTTCGATATTGAACGATAATTACAATTATCCCAATTGCACATGAATGGTTTTTCCGATGGATCTTTATGTACGTATAAATGACGATTTAATTTATAAGTATTTCGAAATACTTTTCCACAATGTGGACAAGGTCTTAAACCTTTTACAACATTTGATTTTTCAGTGTTTGATAATGTTGAAATCGATTGACCGTTTTGACCAATACTGGTTGTTGTACATACAGGTGGTTGTAACATTAATGTAGGTATTTTATTTGTTTTGTTTTGTTGTGTAGAATGTGATGATGATGATGATACAATTCGACCGACTTCAGTCTCTATTTCTTTATCCACCATTTTACATATTTTTTCCATAAATATTACTTCTTGTTTTAAATTTTCGGTACGTTTTTTATTCGATAAACGTTGTTGAAGCAATTCATTTTGTAAAAATTCCAAAAATGTTTCATGCATAAATGAAACATCAATATCTCGTTCAAAATTGATTAAAAATTTCCATGATACATCTGATCGTGATAAATTAACTAATGTTGGAAATAAATGTCGAAGTTTATAGAAAATGACTGTTATCAATAAACTAATAAAAGTTATATCTCTGATAGTTTGATAATTTAATTGATTTTGTTGTTCAACGGTAAATAATTGTTCAACAACAGTATTATTATTATCTTTGTTTGATGATAATTTTTGATCAATATTTGATAATTGTGGTAAATTATTTAATTGTTGATGAAATGTGGATGTTAATTGTGTGGATAAACCAACATTATTTGAAATAGCTGCAACATTAAATTCATTTAAATTCGATAATGTTTGTGGATATAATGTTTGTTGTGGCTGTTGCTGTTGTTGATTAGCAACAGATCCAGTAGGAAGATGAAGTTCTTGAAGAACATTCATTCTTGAAACTAATTCATCCATTGGAATTGATTGATTAGCATCTTTTAAATTATTATTGCTTGTATTATTATTCGTTGCTGTTGTTGTTGTTGCTACTGTATTCATAACTAAACCATTAATAATATTTTTATTTTTGGCACCAAGTTCTTTATTGGAAAGAATTTTATCATTATGATTCGAATGTTGTTGTTGTTGTTGTTGATGACTATGATTGTGATATGTGTTCGATTCTTCATCGGAAATCGTATCAAATATCTGTTCAAAATCAATATTTTCATATAGATTACGATTATAGAAAAATGATAGCCAAAATATAATGCATTTGGATTTTGTATGGCCAAAACAATCATCTATGAAATTAGAAGAAAAAATTTCGAATGTTTAAGAATCAATTGACAATCATATAAATTTGATGTCATACAAACCATAATGACTGGAAGATGTAAAATGGAAAAATGTATTAAAATATCGTACAGTATTTAATATAAAATCAATTAAACATTGACGATTAGCCAGATTAAAACCGGTTATCGGTAATGGTATTGATTCGAATGATGATTTTACTCTTTGATTATTATTGGTAGTTGTAGCTGTATTCGGTAAATTTCTTTTATTGTTGTTGACCGATATCGTCGTCTGATCTTGTTGCATTTCCAATGCATAATTACAATGCATATGACGATTAATTTCATTCAAAATAACAAGTAAATTATGTTCTTGATTTTCGTCCAAAATGAACATTGCACTAACAATTGGTGGTATGATATTAGCGAAAAAAAACAAAACAAAACAAATTTAACTCATCAAAAACTATAACGACAAAAAACTAAGGTAATTTTGATTCACTATTTTTTTTGGGGAGAAAACAAAATCAAATCAAACGAATAGCGAACAAAAAAAAAGAAGAAAATGATGGAGGGTATCATTGAATGCAAAACAAATGATCATTTGGTCATCTAAAATGAATTTTTTTCTGTGTTCAATCATATGTTGATTGACAGGATTGACAACAACAACAACAACAAAAAAATCTTTGAAGAAAAAAAAATTAGCCAAAATAATAAGTGAAAGTGAAAAAAAAAATATGAATGAAAACGAAAACGAAAACGAAAAAAAAATGTTGACAAGATTTGCTTGCTTTTCTCTTATACTCACTTATTACACCTGACATTCATTCATTCATTCATTCTCATTGTATACAACCACTGCCACCACCAATAATAACAAACCACATGCAAGCCATTGAAAAAAAAATTCAAAAGAACTGGTTTATACTGTGTAAGTTTTTCAATTTACACACACTGCTCGAAAAATTCAATGTCAAGGTGAATTTTTTGATTTGATCAAAAAAAAAATTTTTTCTTTAATGATGATACCTATAGATTATAATTAGATAATTTTTTTGTTTAAAATTTAAAGAATATTATAATGTCTATATAGAGAATATCAAGAAAAAAAAATTTTCGAAAAACAACCAGAAAAAAAAAACAATTATCATAATTAAATTCATAAATTAATGATCGATTTTGAGTTGAGTTGGAAGATTGGGGAACAAACAAGAAAAAGTCAATTCAATCAATATGGGTGTTTTTTTTGTGTGTGAACTTGATACGTATGAAAAATGATACAAATGAATAATTTATCCAATTAGTTTAAAAACAAAAAAAAAAACAAAAAAAAAATAATGATAAATTCAATGATCAAATAGCAATGAGCAATGATAACAAAATGTTTCTGGTGGGTGTGTGGGTGTTTTGTACAATTTTTTTTTGTTTGTTTGTTTTTGAAAGGAAATTCAGTTGGTTAAGAAATGGGTGATTTTCAGTTTTCAGGTTTTTTAAATCAAAGTTTATCAGTGATGATCGGGTGATGATCGGGTGATGAGCAATTTTTTTTTTTGTGAAAAGATTTTCATTTTTTCTTTCCAATCAAATAATAAGTCATTAATTTTCCTTTGCCTTTAACACTGACTAGTCCACGTTGTTCAAAAATGAAATTAAATTCTTTTAAAATTTCCATTGTTTCCTGTACAACCTGTATGCAACCAGCTTTTCCNTCGTCTGATCTTGTTGCATTTCCAATGCATGATTACAATGCATATGACGATTAATTTCATTCAAAATAACAAGTAAATTATGTTCTTGATTTTCGTCCAAAATGAACATTGCACTAACAATTGGTGGTATGATATTAGCGAAAAAAAAAACAAAAACAAATTTAACTCATCAAAAACTATAGCGACAAAAAACTACGGTAAAATTTTGATTCACTATTTTTTGGGAAGAAAAAATCAAATCAAATCAAACGAATAGCGAACAAAAAAAGAAGAAAACAAAAATGATGGAGGGGATCATCTAAAATGATTTTTTTTCAATCATATGTTGATTGACAACAGGATTGACAACAACAAAAAAAAATCTTTGAAGAAAAAAAAAATTAGCCAAAATAATAAGTGAAAGTGGAAAAAAAATATGAATGAAAACGAAAACGAAAACGAAAAAAAAAATGTTGACAAGATTTGCCTGCTTTTCTCTTATACTCACTTAATACACCTGACATTCATTCATTCATTCTCATTGTATACAACCACTGCCACCACAAATAATAACAAACCACATGCATACACGCAAGCCATTGATTCAAAAATTCAAAAGAACTGGTTTATACTGTGCAAGTTTTTCAATTTATACACACTGCTCGAAAAATTCAATGTCAAGGTGAATTTTTTTTTGTTTCAGGAATTTTGATTTGATCAAATTTTTTTTTCTTTATTAATGATGATACCTATAGATTATAATTTTTTGTTTAAAATTTAAAGAAGATTATAATGTCTATATATAGAATATCAAGAAAAAAAATTTCGAAAAACAACCAAAAAAACAATTATCATAATTAAATTCATAAATTAATGATCGATTCGATTTTGAGTTGGAAGATGGGTTACAAGAATTCAATCAATATGGGTGTTTTTTTTGTGTGTGAACTTGATACGTATGAAAATGATACAAATGAATAATTTATCCAATTAGTTTAAAAACAAAACAAAAAACAATGATAAATTCAATGATCAAATGAGCAATGATAACAAAATGATAATGTTTCTGGTGGGTGTGTGTTTTGTACAATTTTTTTTTTGTTTTTGAAAGGATTCGGTTAGTCAAGAAATGGGTTTGTTTTTCAGGTTTTCAAAATCAAAGTTTATCAGTGATGATCGGGTGATGAGCAATTTTTTTTTTGTGAAAAGATTTTTCAATTTTCATTTTTTCTTTCCAATCAAATAATAAGTCATTAATTTTCCTTTGCCTTTAACACTGACTAGTCCACGTTGTTCAAAAATGAAATTAAATTCTTTTAAAATTTCCATTGTTTCCTGTACAACCTGAATGCAACCAGCTTTTCCAGTACTTTCCATACGGCTAGCAACATTAACCGTATTACCCCAAATATCATAATGTGGTTTACGTGCACCAATTACACCAGCCGTTATTGGTCCTTGATTGATACCGATACGTAATACGAAATTATTAAAACTTTCTTTATTAATACCATTCAATGTTTCTTTCATTGTTAATGCAAATTCAGTTAATTGTGCTAAATGTGACCATTTTTCAATAATATTATTTGATTTTGAACAATCATTTGTTTCATCAATATTCAATCCACTAGCAGCCATATATGTTGAGCTTATTGTTTTAATTTTAAATATATCTTTAAAACGTTGTTGTGATAATAATGAATCATAATCGGATATAACTTCATTTAAAAATCTTAAACATTCTAATCCTTGATTATTAACAGATTCTTCTGTATAAAAATCAGCAAAATTTGGCATTGATGCAAATAATACACCAACACATTCATAACTTTTACTATATAATTCCTATAAATGATGATTAAAGAAAAAGAAAAATTGGTTAGACATAAACAAAAAGGTGATGATTGGTAATCAATAACCAATCGATCGATCAATCATCGATCATCAATGAATTGAATCGATGATGATGGTTATTCAAAAAAGCTCTTACCTCATCATTTTTACGTTTACCCAAAAAATGAACAGCAACATGAGGTGGTAATATATTATAAACTAATGCTTCATTTTTTCTACGCATATCAGCAACCATTTCTTTTTGTTGATCAATATCTTTTTGCCATAAAAATAATCGTCTTGTCATTAGTTCAAACTGTTTTTTTTTTGGATAAAAAATCAAAATCAAATTAGTATGACCATCATTATCATTATCATCATTATAATTTTAATTAAACTTACCTGTCTATTAATAATAATCAAACCAATAACAATAGTTATAATTATAATAACATAATTATGTCTACTATGAATAAATTGTTGATAATTTATAAGTTTATAAACTTTAAATGCATATGTTAAACTAAAATATATAAGAAAACATTGTATGAATGCTAAACATATGATAATTGTTGCTTTCATTAGAAATTGTATACGAGTCAGTACTGTTATAGCCAATAAACCTAATATACAAAAAAATATTAAATATTGTGGTAATGCAATAACATGATCAGCAATATGATAACGATCAGTTGATCCAGAAATAATTAGATTTGCATATTCATTTTCAAGATTATCATCATAGAATATCTATTTTTGAAAAAAATGAAAATGAATTCAAAATTTTGAAGAATTTGAGTAACTTACATTGGCTACAATATGTGCTGTTATCCATAAAGCAATCATACTACCGGCAATTGTAACACGTATCCATGATTTTTGCTGTACAGCATTTGACAGTATAGCTAATGGTTTTGGAATTGACTGTTGGAAGGAAAGAAAATCAAATGATTAAATCAAAATCAATGGCAAAAAGGAATCAAAAAAATAATAATTACCGTCCATATGATTGATATAGTACAAATAAATGCTTTAACAATGAGCAATAAAAGGCAAATAACAAGGGTTAAATAAATTTGTAAACAAAATGGCCCAATTAAAACAAATGATAATAAATAAATAAATAATGTAAATGGAAGGCCTAATAATGATATGCAACTTGTTATATCACGACTTTCACGATATTCTTGTTCAATATCTGAATTTTTAAATGTTAAACTAAATAAATCCGTATGTTCGGCAATATTTTTTTCACTTTCACGATGTATTAGTTCAGCATGTAAACGTTGTTTATAAATTTCTGGATCTTTTATATCTTCTTGTCGAAAACGATCAACATTTATATCATTTTTTAATTTTGTTGTCTGGAATTTTTTGTTCAGTAAAAAAATCAGCAAATCAGAGATTCATTTTGCTAGCATCACTTACCTCTCCACAATCATCTGCGTTTGGAATATCCATTTGAATCATAGCATCCAATGTTCCTTCAGGATACTGATTGAAGGGAACAAACAAAACAAAAATCAATTTCAAAACCGACCAAACGAAAAAAAAAAGAAACTTACCGGTTTGATAATTTTCGTAATAAAATAGGTTTTTATACCGGATAAACGAACAACTTCTTCACGTGATGCACCATCACCATCAATGATTTCAAATTCACCATCCAAAAAATTTAATGTCTTCTCCGATATATGTACTCGTCTGGTTTGTTTTTTGGGTGAAAAGTTAATGTTATTATCATTTTTGTTTCTCGGATTGAATCAAATTGAATCAAATTTACCCGGGTAATCCAGCACTTTCCATTTTATTAGCCAATTCAACATCACGACTATAAACATCAAATTGCCATTGTCGTTGACCAAGTACACCAGCCAAAACGCTACCCGTATGTATTCCTGTAACCAATCATCATCGTCAAAAAAATAGACATTTTGGATTAAACAAACAAAAGCAGCAGAAAAAAAATGACAAATAGAAATACTAACCAACTCTCATGTCGACCGTTGATTTTGTTTGTTCACGAACAGATCTGATTACCAAATAAAACAAAAGAAAGAAAAGAAAAAGATTGCAAAGAAACGAAAATGTTACGAATCATATGTTTGATTTTTTTGGTTGGTTACAATTGTCAAGTTTTTGTTTTCATAGACAGAAAAAACAATGAAAGATAATTCTACAAGCGAAAATCCGGAATATCCCGAATATCACATATCAAATGTCATTGGTTATTTATTTAGTATTCATTTTCATTACCAAAACCGAGAAAAAACCAAACAAAACAAAAAAATGACGGCTTTACGGGAAACACATTTACATAAACAATACCCGAAAAACAACAGAATAATAATGTATTTTTTGGGGTTTTTGTTTCTATAGAAAATTTTCAATTACATCATATAACACTATTACCTTAAACAGTAACTAAAAACCACACAAACAAACAGAAAACACAGAAAAGAACATCTTGTCTTATGGATATTTATTGGAAAAAAAAAGTTTTTGGCTTTCTTTCTTTTTTGGCTGGAAAACTTGGCAGGCAAAAAAAAACTTTTGAGCTCATTATTCGCTCGAAATTCTTGTTTGGGATTTAACATTATGGTAGCCAGAAAAACAGAACAGAACAGAAAAACAGAATAGAGAATTAGAGAATAGAAAAAATTTATTTACTTGATTGCTTCAACCATTGAAAGACCCATATGAACACAAAGTACAGCATGATCAGGTCGTTCTTCAGGTGCACCACTTATACAATAATAACAATCACCCAATATTTTTATACGTAATTGATGATATTTCTATTACCCATAAAAATGTATGATGATAATATTCGCAAGATCAATATTATTGATTTTTAAAAATTTACTTACATCCGATAGTTTATCAAAACGTGCAAATAATTCATTTAATGTTTTAACTAATTCTGGTGCTGAACATGTAGATGATATGGCAGTAAAACCAACAATGTCAGCAAATAATATGCTGAACAATCAAAATAATTAAAATGGAAATAATGAAAATAAATTGACACAATTGACTGACTGAATCAATGATATATAACTTACCTAACATTTTCATGACGACTATTTTAAACGGGGAAAAAATGGAATATTAAGTGGTTACATAACTTGTGGTTAATTAATTAATTTATTTACTTACCTCATATAGATTTTATGAAATTGTCCACCAACAACAGCACCTAAATCTTGTCTTATTTCGGCTGCAACATGTTTCGGTAATACCGATAATAATAATCGTTCCTAAATAATTAGTTTTTTCAATTGAAAAAAGTTCAAATGATGATTCATCATTCAATCAATATTGATAAGAAAAAACAAGAAGAGTTTTGTTCAGTTGTCTAACCTGTTCTTGTGATTGTTCTTCTAATGTTAATTTTGTTTCCAAACTTTGTCTTGTTTCAAGAAATGCACGTCTTTGTTGTCTTTCATAGAAAAAGAATGACATTGTACTTAATAAATTTACACTGACAATAATAATCAGATTGGCGAATATCTACGGAGAAAAATCACATTATTTAAAAAAAAGAGAATTTTTTTTGTTTGTAATTTACCTGATTAGTAAATTTATAAGTAGATGTTGTAAACATAAAAATTAATAATGAATGTAATATTGCCATAAGAATGCTTAATATACAACAAATACGAAAACGTAATGGAAATATAACATAAGTAGCATATGAATAAAGCAATAACCAACATAATGAACCAGATGGTTCAGGTGGCCTACCAATAAATATACAAAGATCACAGATTATTTGTACTAACATTACAATCCATAATGCAAATGGTATTAATGACCAAAGACGTGATGCTAATTGATCACGTGATCGTCGTAAACATAATATAAATAAAAATATTGCCAATATAAGACAACTAAATAATATAATTAATTGTTGATGAGAAAGATCACTTTGATTCCAAGATGATGACAAAAAATGAAGGCCCAATAAAACAATGTTTACAAATATCACAATAACAATTAATGCTTTAAAATCATTACGTTTTTCATTTGAATAATATTCTTGATATAATTGTTCGGCTTCACGATCAGCAAATGCAAAATGCATAAATGTTGGTAAAAATCTTTGCATACCACCATGATCAATACTTAATTCAGTATCACCACGTTTTAATGTTAATGAATGTCTTTTTAAATGATTTGTTGTTTCATTTAAATTTAATAATTCTTCATCAACAAAATTATCATCATTATTCGTAGTAGTCGCTGTTGTTTGACCACCATTTCTACTACCATTGGCTAGGCCAGAAGAATCCGATATTGGTATCATCATTGTATTATTATCATTGATTTCAATATTTTGTTTTCCATTACCGATTATAGTTGTTGTTGTTGTTGTTGTTGTTGGTGTAGGTGTTTTTGTTACTAATGTTATTGCTGTACCATAAACTGGATTTTTTGAATGATCACCATTATTTGGTTTTAAATGTTTTGATTCATCCGGATTAGTAAATAATTTATCATTATTGGCCATTTCATTGATAACATCATCATCATCATTTCCCATAATAATAATAATAATAATAATTTTTTTTGACCAAAATTACAAATTACAAAGTGATTGATTGGGTTTTTTTACAAACACACACTAAAAGAATCAGTCAGTGTTAATCAATCATATTGATCAAATTCACAATTGAATTATCGTCATTTTGTTTTTTTGTTTGAATGATGTCAAATGATGGAAAAAAAATCATTTATAAACACACCGAAACGAACACAGAATTCACAGAATGTGTTCACAGAATTTCACTGTTGTTGTTTTTTTTGAATGATATTCGTCAAAACAATAATCATCATCATTTGAACTTTATTTTTTTGCAGAAAAAGAATCACAACAAAATCAAACCAAAAACGATACACAGACATTTAAATTTCAATTGACCGACTAAATTTATTTTATTTTCCGATCAACAAACACACACAGCAGACACACAGTCTGTCAATTTCTATTTTGGTTTTGTTTTTTATTATTTGCAAGTTAAATATCGTTGGTTGTTGGTTGTCGTCAGTAGAAGGAATTCTTTTACACTTTTTTTTCGAAAGAAAGAAAAGAAAGAATAATATAAAAGAATATCAGCAGTTCGGGCTAACAGCATAAACTAAAAATAATGATAGATAGAAATTTACATCATACGAACATCACACATAGCAGAAAACAAGAAAACAAGAAAACAAGGAAAAACTAAACTGAACTTGAATAAGTTTTGTTTTGTTTTGTTTTACAGAATCCTTATTATCAATTGTTATTCGTTGTTGCTTTATCATCATCATCATCATCATTATTAATTGTGTGGTGGTGGTGGTGGTTGATGATGATGGCTGGTTGGTTGATGATTTTATCGATGGTGGTGGTGGTGGTGGTTTTTTCGTTTCGTTTCGGTTGATGTTGGTTGGTTGGTCGGTATACCGATATTCATTAATTTATTTATTTCGACAAAGAATTTGATTCTAGCATGCGGCTGTTGTTCTGCTGCTGCTGCTGCTGCTGCTGTAATATCACCTGCTTTGTTTTGGTTTTCTAGCCAAAAACAATAATGTTTTGGATTGAGATACATCCATGCATTGCAGACATTGAAAAAAAAAGAGAGAGAGATAGAGAAAAAAGTAGGAAACAATGGCGTGAGAGTGTATATATATGGCGTGAGTTTTTTTTGTTTATTGAAAAGAATGGCAGTGGATAATGGTTCCAAACAGTCAAACAGACCTCTACCGACAATCAATGAATGAATGAATGGATACAGTTAAACCAAAATAGTGATTTTGTTTTGCTGTTTTGTTATTGCAGTCATTGGAACATCAACAACAACAACAACAACCATCACATAACCTAACCTTTAAAGATGTGTATGTATGAATGCTGGCGTGGGTGGCTGACAGAATCAGTTAACAGTTATTGTCGTCATAATGTCGTTTTTTTTGTTAACACTATGGGATCTTCGCCCAAATTTTTTTTTGTTTTCTTGATATAGAAGGTATATATAGTCATTGTATCATTTTTTGTCCTCATCAATCCATGGTATCTATATGGAAATTTTTGAAATCAATAACAATAATATAAACCGTTAGTCAAAGGAAATTTCTAGTGTTAATATATATTGGGCTCCAAGCGCTTTTATATATCATCACCATACAAACGCATATATCACCAAACCACACCACACACACAAACAAGCAAATCAGGCCAGTTACCAAAAAAGTAATATACAGTATAAATATAGTGGAAGCCAATAAGAAAAAATCGAAATAGACAAGGCACCAATCTCTTTCTTCTTCTTTCATTCATTCATTCATTTTCCACTACTTATATATCTTAAATAACATATGGCCCAAATTTTTTTTTTCATACATACAACACCAGCAAACATTATTATCATTATCAGCATTATTATCATCATTGAAAATGTCCATATATACAAATGAATGAATGATGATAATGTGAATTAATATTTTCTCATTCTTCTTCTATCTCATTCTGATTATAATGATATGGACAAATATTATTATCTAGGGCGTTTAATATTGCCTTGTTTAAATGCTGATGATGATGATGATGATGATGATGAGCATCATTGATTATGCATTTTTTGGTTGGGGTTTTTTCTTGGTTTTGTTTTTTTTTGTTTATAAATCAAAAAGCAAACGATAATTGATCGATTGTATAGGATGATGATGACAATTTGATTTACAATATTTTGAATATATTGATCGTATAAGTATAATAATCCATTGAACTATCGATTTGATTTGATTGATTGATCGATCAATCAAATTTTGATTTTTTCTTTCTTTTTTCGGTTGTTGTTTCGGGAAAAACATTTCCAATGTCACACAGGCACAAGAAGAAGAAACATGTTTTGTGAAAAAATTCTAATCAAATTGTCCGGAAAAACAAAATGTTGTTGTTTTTTCCTTGAAATACAAACCACCGTTACTAGAAAAAAAAACCAAAACCGCATTTCAACAAACAAAAAAATAAAAAAAATAAAACATTTTAGTTTTTTTTATGCACAATCATTATAGATCAACAAAGCAAAAAAAAAATTTGTAATTAAAAATAAATAATTAGCGCTGGTTGTTTGTAATTTTTTTGGCCTATTATTACTGAAATGTATCATACTGTGTTATAAGCTTCTAGTTTTCCCTCCGAAAAAAAACTGATGATAATGGTAATTTCAAACGAATGAATGAAAAAAAATTCATTCGAATCAAATGTAGCCAAAAAAAAAAAAAAAACAAAGAATGATGAAACATAAAGTAAATAACATAAAGTGATACTGATGATGATGATGATGATGATGGTTTTTGTAAAATTTAATCCGATTGATGATGAAAATTTATTTCCATTCACACACATGCATGCATTTGGTGAATTTACAAAGTTTATTTTTCCCCACTGTTATACATCATTTCAAATCAATATTTTTTCTTTTATATGGAAATTCATTCACATTCTCTCTCTCTCTCTCTCTCTCTCTCTCTCTCTCTCTCTCTTCAAACACACACACCGATTGTACCGAAATAGCAACAANCATGCATTTGGTGAATTTACAAAGTTTATTTTTTATTTCCCTTTTATACATCATTTCAAATCAATATTTTTTCTTTTATATGGAAATTCATTCACATTCTCTCTCTCTCTCTCTCTCTCTCTCTCTCTCTCTCTCTCTCTTCAAACACACACACCGATTGTACCGAAATAGCAACAAAAAAGACAATATATTTCGACACATTACGTATTTTTTTATTATTTTGCACTAGATTCTGGATTCTGGAACAGAATTGAATGATGTTTCTCTCTCTCTGTCTCTGTCTGTGTGTGTGTGTGCTATCAAGAATAATTTAAAAATTACCGAATCGATATATCTGCCTGTCTAAATGTGTGTGTCTGCGTATGTCATTTTTAGTTTTTCGTCTTTTTTTCGCTTTTTTAGTTTTTTTCAGTTTTACTTTTCTGACGACATACACAAAATGAATGAACAATGGAAGAAACAACAACATCAGGTCCGGAACAGTAGAATAATTTCGGGAAACGATTTTCATTTCACCGAGAAAGAAAAAGAAAGAAAAAATTCACCGAATGTAAAATAAATTCTGGAGCAGAACAAAAAAAAACTACATTGTCATCCCGGGCGTTGATGATGGTATTGATTTGGTAAATGGGGGAAAAAAAATATTTACATTATTCGTGTATGAAATTAAATGATTCGTTCGTTCATTCGTTTGTTAGTTAGTTTGTTCACGCCTGTGATCATCTCTATAAACAATTCTTTTCAAATGAATGACTATTTGGGTTTTATGCAGTGGAAAATTTACGATTAAAAAGTTATTGTTTTGAATAGGACAAAGCTGCGATGAAAAGCTAAAAAAAAGCGATATTCAAAAAGACCACCAGCACCTGACACAATTTCCCATGCAGTCCGAATACATGTTACCTGGCTAGAATCATTGAAAACATGAATGATTAAAAACATGAATCTAACGATGATGTGAAATTGGAAAAAAAAACAATAATATCGAACGAACGATTGAAATATTTCGACAAAATTTCATGCTTTAGTGAATCATCATAAAACAAAACAAAACAAAACAACAACAACAATAACAACAAGAAGGAAAAACTAAAATAAAAAATATCGAGTGGTTTTCCACTTTGGATTCTGGTCGGTCAAACAAGATGGAGGGGAGAAGGGGAGAGAGAGAAGGGGAGAGAAGCATAAATCATTATTATAATCATCATTTCGATGTTTTTTGCGAAATTGAATTTTTTTTTCAATTTTTCAACTTCAATTTTTCAATTTTTCAATTTTTCAATTTTTCAACTTTTAAACTATTTTATTATGCGAGCATGACATATTGATAAATAATTTTTCATTGTTTTTCTTTTTGTTTTTTACTTTTTTGGTTTTTTACTTTTTTGAATCGAAAAGAATCGAATGAAAAAGTATTTGACAACAACATGATATATCACCCGAATGAACGAAAAGAACGAAAAAGAAGCTAGAATCAAGTAAAGTACTTCAAAAGTGCCTTAATTGATTGACAACCGAAATCTTTTTTTGAAAGAAATTTTTTTGCTGAATGAATTTCATTTCTGTCATGGTTGGCTGAATGGCTGACTGGCTGGTCGAAATTCGTTTCAAATTTCTAATACATATTAAAAGTGGGAAAAATTTTATCAAGAATTTGCATATTTCGACAACGAAAAAACTTGTAAATTCTTCATGGCCAACCCGCAACAACAAGAAAAAAGAATATTCCAGTTATCCAGATAACATGCGACAAGCAAATCATTACCATTATTGACATAATGTATTTCAGGATTTTTCAGGATAAGGATTTTAACACAAATCATTGGCATTGTATCAAATTCATTTCATTAACACTGTGTGTGTTCTCAAGGCTTTGTCTATAGACTTTTTGGATACTATTTATAGAATTTGTTAGGAAGCCCGATTCTGGTGAAAGAGTGAAATTATTCTTGAAAAAAGTGAAAAGTTCTTTGAATGTATCTTATTTTCGTCTTTGTCGTCGTTTTTTATTTTTAAAAAAATACTTAATTCAAGTCACGTGATTCTTTCTTAAACCAATTATTCTGTCAAACTGAAATGACTGACTGATTGACTAACCCATGACACATTCGACAAATGGTTCATCAAAAAAAAAACTTTTTTTGCTTTTCAAAAACTTTTAAAAAGTAAATGTGATTGGCGTTGACAAAGGCGTTGACAAAAGATTTTTGTTTTCTGTTCAATGATTATGTGCCAATCAACCCCTTCTTTTTTTTTGTTCAGAAAAATGACTTTTGAGATGTTTTTTCTTTCTCATTTGACAACGATGATTATTGGCTTGTCATCATGCTTGTTTACCTATATCATCAACGAAAAACAAAAACAACATCGTATAATTACAAAACAGACAAATCTTTTTTTCCATCATTAATTTCAATCAAAACAGTGTGGCCAATAACACATAAATTAATCACTGAACGACCAATATAGTTAATATTTTGTTTGCTTTTTTTTCTTCTTCCACATTGAATTATAGATGCTTGTCACAATGCCAAAAATAGTGAAAAGAGATTATTATTCGGTTGTTTTGTTTTGTTTTGCTTAAGAAAGAAAAAAAAACATGACATACATTCTTTATGAAGTATTAATTACCCAGAAGAAGAAGAAGATGAAAATCTTCATCATCATCATTAATAAATGTATAAGGATGCTGAACAACAACAATATTCTTGTGTTTGTGTGTGTTTTTGTGAAATTCTGTCTATCTATCGTTATTTTAGTTATAATCATCATTATGTATGTGAATCATGTATGCATATCGGATGTGCTTCTTCTGTATGTGATAAATTGTCAATGTTTTTTTCACTTCCGAATGGATGGGAATAGCGAAGAAAGAAAAAAGAAGAAAAAGTGAGTTACTGAATGGCTGAAAGTGAAAAGATAAAACAGATTCTGTTGTCGAAAACGAGAAAAACGGATATTATTATCATAGAAAAAACATAATTAAATGGCCATCAATGAATGAATGAATGAGGGAAAAATCTTTCTTTGAATAAATGAATGGATGGGGTAGGTTCGTTCATAATTCATTTACAAGAATTATATACAGTGTGCATATGGAAAAAAACAAACAAACAAACAAACAAATAATCATTTGGGGATTCTGTTTTGGAAATATTTTCATTATTCTTGTTTTTTTTTTTTGGAAATCGGTTGATTGGATTTTTTCATCATCATCATCATTTTCATTAATAATGATAGGATTTTGCTGTTGGTTGAACCAAATTATTATTATTATGCAAAAACAATTGAATTTGGCTGGTCATTCGATCAGCTCGATCAGTTTCCGAGAAAAAAAATGCATTTTTTCCCATTCTTTTGAAGATAAACAAATTACGAGATAAAAACATTATTCACTTTCCAAATTTTTTTGTTTTTTTCCCTCCGTTTAATTCAATCATCATCATGGAATTTGAATGTAGAAAATTTTTTTTCGGTAAAAAATTTCATTACTTGTCGCATGTCAATCAGATTTAGTAATATGAAAAAATTTATAATTAAATTAAAAACTTTTGCACCGGATAGATATATAGATGAATGAATGAATGAATGAATGGTGGTGATGATAATGTCAGGTTAACTGCACCTCATAATACCTGTGTGTGTGTTTTGAAAACAAAGAAAACAAAAATATCCATTCGAATCATTATCAAATGAAAAAAAAACATTTGACAATGATGATGATGATAATAAACAGTGATCGAAACACTGAAATAATGAAAATTGATTTCGACAATGAAAATTTTTTTGTTTTGTTTTGTTTCGGACGAAACCAGCAAACTCAGTGCAAAAAGATAAGATGAGATCCAGATATTAATGGTCAATTTAACGACCAAAATAAAGAAAGAAAAGGAAAAAACACAATTTTATTATTAGCATCATCAAATAAAATTTATGGATCAACCTTCCATCATTTGCTATTTCTATTTCGATCCATTTGATAATAATGTTTTTCTATTTCTATTTCTACGTCATGTAGGAAAATAATCCAAATCATCATCATCATTATCTTGTTTCATTTTTGGCTAATTGCTAATTAGATTTGTTTTTTATGTTTGTTTGTGTTGGCCATCTTTGAAATGAAGAAGCAAAAACAAAAACTCGTAAACATCTTTATAACCGTTGATTTTGTCCAGTGAATGAATGAATGAATGAATGGAAACGGAAAACTTTAAATTTTTCAATGACCAAACATTGGAAATTGTTGCTTGTTCGCTTACAACATTCACATACTGAATTCATTCGCAAAAAAAAGAAAAAGAATCAATTTTGGGCAGCCATATTAATGATTATGATCGAAAGAAAAAAAATGGCAAAATCGAAAAATGGACGAATCATTTTTTTCCTCAATATCGATTAACATAAAACGACTATTTTATGATTCTGGAGAAAGAATGAAGAGAAAAATGCTGACGACAAACAAACAAAAATGCTTTTTTCTTTTTTCTTTCTTTCTTGTAATTGCATTTGGACCAATCATTATTACTACTATAGATTCACTGGATGCAATATAAGAATCTCAACAACAACAACAAAAATGATTGCCTTTTTTCATTTTATCATGATTTACAATCATAAACTTTCTGTGTGAAAGAGAGAGAACTAAATTAAACTAAGGACAACTAACTAACTATAGTCAAAGATATTAATGATGAATAGAATCGTTTAGTTCATCAGTAAATTGATATCATTAGATTTGAATTTCCAGAATGTCCATTCAAGAACCAGAAAATGAATTCTCTCTCTATCTTTTCTCAAATTGTTTTTTTCGTTTCTTGGCCACATCAAAACAATATTGGCAACAGAAATCATCATCTTTTTCTTCTTTTTCTTCCCATCAACATTCATTAGATATTAACTTTTTTTTTCTGTGAATAAAGAATAATTAATCAAAATTGAATCAAAATGAGAGAAAAAAAGTTAAGTCAAGTTAAGTTTATCATTTATCATTTATTAAATGGATTGTTTCTTGGGAGAAGAAAACAAAAATATAAAAAGTTTCTTGGCAACCAAAATATTCGCTATGTTCATTTTGTTTTGTTGACATTTTTCGGCCATAGATATCCATGATCCATCCATAAGCAACAACAACAACAATATTCATCTGAATCAATCAAATTGTCGTTGTCGTTGTTCTGTATCTGATTGTATTTATTTTTTCTGCTTTTCACGTTTACCTGGATAATTTCTGTTGTTTTTTTGTAATATTAATTTCCATGGCCACCATCATCATCGGAGAATTTTTAAAATTTGATGAAAATTACGTGAAGAAAATGAACATTTTTTTTTTGTTTTGTTTTTCTCAATTGAAAATAATTTCCTGTTTTTGTTTGTTTGAGTGGGTAGTTTTCGGAACACTCTTTTCTCGTTCAACGCAAAACCAAATTAAAGAAAAATTTTTTCTTTATTTTCGCCGTTCATCGAAACTACCTTTTTTTGTTGTTGTTGTTGTTGAAATGAAGTTATTTTGTTTTTTGTTTTCTCCCAATTCTAATGGGAATTTTTGGCCCATTTAAACGAAGTGAAGAAAAGAAAGGAAAAAGGAAAAAAAAATTCTTCGCTTCATTACATTCTTGTCGTTATTGTTATTTTGGGTTTTATTTATTACATCAGACAGGATAGACTTTTCTTTCACGTTTCACGTTTCTTTTGTTTTGTTAACGGTTTATTTGAAAAAAAAGAAGACAAAATCGAGATTTAATTTGCAAGTTTTGAATTTTTATCTTGTTTTTTCTTGACGATAATAACGCCATCTTTGATCGAATGTAATCAACTAAGATTACGTTGTTTATGAATCAACAAAAAAAAAATTTGGACAACGTGTTCGGTTCGTCGAATGTTGATTTGAGGTTTGGAGTTGGATTTTTTTTGTTTATTTATTTTGATCATTGTCGATTGAGAAAACCAACATCGGAATTTATTCATCGACAAAATGCCACAAAACGAACATATTGAATTATTTAATAAACGTTATGGTCGTCGATTAGATTATGAAGAACGTAAACGTAAAAAAGAAGCTCGTCGTGTACGAGAAATATCATCAAAAGCTAAAAAACTTCGTGGTATTAAAGCTAAAATTTATAATCGTCAACGATTTACCGAAAAAGTTCAGATGAAAAAAACGATGAAAAAACATGAAGAAAAAGAAAGTAAAAAAAGGGAAACTCCTGTTGATGATGGAACAGCATTACCACATTATCTATTGGAACGTGAAAATCAAACTCGTGCTAAAGTTTTATCCAATATGATCAAACAAAAACGTAAAGATAAAGCAGGTAAATGGGAAGTTCCGATTCCTAAGGTGAAAGCTGTTTCAGATTTTGAAGTATTCAAGTAAGTTTTTTTCGGATAAGTTAGAAAAAACAATGATTTTCTAACCTGTATAATTTATAGAACAATTGAAACTGGTAAACGAAAGAAAAAATCCTGGAAACGAATGGTAACAAAAGTATGTTTTGTTGGTGATGGATTTACACGTAAACCACCAAAATTTGAAAGATTCATACGACCAATGGCATTAAGATTTAAAACAGCACATGTAACACATCCCGAATTGAATACAACATTTAATTTACCAATAATTGGTGTGAAAAAAAATCCAAGCAGTCCAATGTATACATCATTAGGTGTTATAACCAAAGGTACGGTTATTGAAATTAATATTAGTGAACTTGGTCTTGTTACACAATCGGGTAAAGTTGTTTGGGGAAAATATGCACAAGTAACGAATAATCCTGAAAATGATGGTTGTATTAATGCTGTTCTTATTGTATAAAATTTTGTTTATTTAAAATGATTTTTTTAAAAAAATTCTGATTAACTTTTTTTTTGTTGTAATAACGACATCTATCGAAAAATAAATTGAAAGGAAAATTTTTTTTTTAAAAAAAACTTGAAGGTCAAAATTAAAAAAAAACGAACATCATAAATTACAAATCTCTTGAAACAATTTGTTTGGATCAATCGATCGATCGATCGATCGATTGGATGATCAATCTGAATCGATCCACAATATTTTTTTTGGTTGCGCAATTTCAACTGAATAGAGACAAACATGTGGAAATAAGAAATGTTTTTAAAAAAAATTGATGGCCTTGTATGTTCCATATACGCGTATTTGGCATGATTTTCTTTTTTTCCAATTTTTTTACATTTTAATGAAATGTAAATATTGGAAGAGAAATTGGGGGAAAAGAAAATAAAACAAAATCATAATAATTTCCTCATTTAAAATCCAAACACACATTGCACATTGCACATTGCACACACATTTACATATATGCTTGTATGCTCCGTTTTCTTTACATTCAAAAAACTAACTTACTTATCTTACTTATCTTTGTAAACTTATCATCATTATCAATGTTTCAAATGTCTTGGCCAATATATAATCAAATTGGAACAATCTTTCTTTTATTCAATTCATTTTTTTTTCGCTGTTTTAAAATCTGTTGTTGTCCCATTTCATCCCATTAATATAATCAAATGAAGATGATCCAGAAAATCAATCAATCGATCTAGTTGTCCATTGTGATTGATTCATTCGTTACCTTGTTTGTGGTCAATGTGTGCGTGTGCTTAGTTTGAGGATTTTTTCGAATTTCTTGGTGATGGTGTAATCGATGGTCATTGACAGACAGAAAGGATGGATAAATGTTTGTGTTGTTGTTTTTTTTTGTTGAAATTTTTTCCATCAAAGTTTTGTTATTTTTTTTTCTTCTTCGAAAACAACAACAATTGCGAAACAATTTCCTTACTAAAATGAATTGAATTGATTTGAAATCCAAAATTCTCATACCTGTTGAAATTTTTTGTATTAATTTCGTTATCATCTTTGTTGTTGTTTTTGTTTTCTGTTCAAAAAAGGGGATAATTTTCTTTTAATTCAATAATAAAACAGCCAGCCACTCTCTTCAATGCTTGTTTTTTTTCCCATTATAAATTGTATACTGATGAACTGTGTAATCAATCCGGAATATTTGATCAGACGTCAATTGATTTTCAATCATCAAACCATCAACAAACCAAAATCATCATCAACAGATCATCAGTGGTGACGTCAATTTGATAGGTGGTAGTTTAGTTTATTGTGATGCTTAGCGTTTTTGTTGTTGTTGTTGTTAAGTAATAACCATTATTATTATTATTATCGTTAAAGTTATTGCATAGATAACCAAAACAAATTCATTCATTCATTCATTCATTTGATTGTTTGTTGTTCGTACACCAAACATTCCACATTCGACATTCCGAAAATCAAATCGAATCAAACAACATTGTCAACGATATTATCGGTGGATCAAAGAATCTAATTTATTTGAAAAAAATGCCATCATTAGAATTAGAAGATTCATTTAAATTAATGTTACGTTCATTTTTTAAAATTTATAGGGTAAGTTCCACTTTCATTCATTCATTTATCAATGGGATGATGTATTGATTCTATCGATCGATAAACATTGAGTATATGATTTATATAAACCTTCAGGTATTTTTGTTGTTGTTATTTGATAGTAAAAAAAATGTGGCGCCAAAATATCATTCGATAGTCGCTCTCTTTTTTCCTTTTCTTTCTCTTTTTCTTTTTGCTCTTTTCGTTTTTGTTTGTTGTTATCGCACACCCAAAATCACAACAAAACAAAAAAAAACAGAAATTTTCACTGTCACACGAATCTTACATCTTTAAATTGCAATTCAATTTCAAATGAAAAGAAACAGAAAAAAAATTATCTTCTGATCATCATCATGATGGTCACATACCACAACATTATCATCACAAGTACACTGTACACAGTAAACTGGTTATGGTTACCACCAATGATAATTCAATCATCGAATCTAATCATCATTATTTATCGAATCGATTAGCAGAAAAAATCGTTGTTGTTGTTGTCAAGCAAGCATGATGATGAAGATATCCACACACAAACACAGATATTGTCATCAATGACCTATCCAGAAAAAGCCTGTGTGTGTGGATCATTAATCGATTGATCGATCAATTTGTGGACAATTAGGTAGTTAACCTTGTGAATAAAAAACAATATAAAAAAATATAGAAAAAATGAATCGAATGTTTATCAATGTCCAACAATCTAAAATGATTGGATATCGTTATTTTTATTCATCTTCGTCATTATCATTATCATTACAAAAACGACGATTGTTTTCTACGATTGTAATGAAACAACAACCAATATTACCTGCTGAATTTGTTGGCTGTATCAATACAACAACAACAACAACAAAAGCAATAACAAAAACTACTACAGCTGTGAATGGAAAAATTTTGTACCGAAAACAAAATGAATGTAGCAACAATAATGGAGCAGGCGCTTTTTCATTTTCTAAACTAAAAAAAGTGAAACTTTTACCGACTTCAATGGCAACTAATAATGAACATAAAGACAATAATAATCAACCAGTTCGAGAGCAATCAAATTTAGAATCATCATCATCATTGAATTCGAACGAATCGAGCAAGAAATATCATTGGAATTCGTTGTCCGCTTGTTCAATGTTTACCACTTATGATCATAGTAATGAAACTAAAAAACAATCTAAAAAGTCATTGACATTGACAAAAATAATAAACAATCAATTTTTATCACCATTATCATTGGAAAATAATAAAACAACAGTGGCTCATAATAATTATTTTTTATTTCAAAAATCCGGTATTGAAAATAGAAATATTCTTAATAATAATGAACGATTATATCGTTTTATATTGCCAAATATTTCACAATGTTTTCGAAAAATGTGTACATTATCATCATCATCATCATCATCATCATCTTCAGTTACCATCGCTTCAGTGAGTATCATTTCTACACTTTGTTTTCCTTTTGTTAATGAAAATTGGCGCCAAATAAAGTAGTAGATTTTATTTAGATTTAGGGATTCAGTGTAAATCGATAAATGTTTTCTTCGTTTGATTTGTTGTTTATTGATTTGTTTGTTTTATTTGTCTATTTTACAGAATCGAAATATTTGTGAACGTAAATATCCATCATTTGTGAAAATAGTTGAAGTTGGTCCACGAGATGGCCTACAAAATGAAAAGGTTTTTGATTCGAAATTCGTATAACGTTAATATTGATTTTGTTGATTTTTAACCCTTTTTTTTTGGTTCTATAGGAATATGTACCAGCCGAAACCAAAATCAAATTCATTAAATTATTATCGGAAAGTGGTTTGAATGTAGTTGAAGCAACAGCATTTGTATCACCTAAATGGGTACCACAAATGAAAGATCATAAAACCGTATTCAAAGCATTGACCAATTTATCTAATGATGATATTCAAACAAATAATAATAATAATAATAATTCGAATGATAATTCAATTATACATTATCCGGTATTTGTACCAAATCTTAAAGGTTTAAAAGATGCAATGGAAGTTGGTGTTAAAGAGATTGCCGTTTTTACAACCGTTTCGGAAACATTTTGTATGAAAAATGTTAATTGTACTATTGATGAAAGTTTACTTCGAATACAAGAAATACTCAATTTAGCTCTTAAAAATAATATTAAAGTTCGAGGGTAAGTGTTTGCTTCGTGGTTAACTGAACAACCTTTAACCTTTTCTTATTATCATTTTCACAGATATATTTCCTGTTGTCTTGGTTGTCCATATGAAGGTTTTATTGCACCACAAAAAACTGCTCAATTAGCACATAAACTTTATGAAATGGGTTGTTATGAAATATCATTAGGCGATACGATTGGTATCGGTACACCAGATAAAATGAGTGATTTGATTGAAGAAACAACAAAATATGTACCTGTTGATGTAATTGCTGTACATTGTCATGATACATATGGTCAAGCTTTGGTCAATATATTAACAGCATTAGAAATGGGTATAGCTATTGTTGATTCATCGGTTGCTGGTTTAGGTGGTTGTCCATTTGCAAAAGGTGCTACCGGTAATGTTGCCACTGAAGATGTTGTCTATTTATTACATGGTATTGGTATCAAAACGGTATGTTTGACATTTCAAACATTTTTTTTCACAAACATCTTAAATAACAATTTTTTTTCTTTGAAACACAGGGAATCGATATAATGAAATTAATAGAAGCTGGTAATTTTATTTGTCATGCTTTAAAACGTGAAACATCATCAAAAGTTGGTCGAGCATTAATGGCAAAATTATCGCCATAGAGAAAAAGTAAAAATTAATCCTTTCAACATTGTTTTTATATTTGTTATTAAAAGCTATTTATTTTGATTTGAAACAATGAACATATCAAAATATTTTTTTTGTTCTCAATTTTCTTTTTTTTTCTTTCTTTCTTCAAAATAAATGATTTGATCATTTTGTTTGTTTGTTTGTTTGTGTTACATAAATTGTCGTACATCATCAAATTCATTGAGAATAAAATTTTTTTGCTTACATTTATCCGATTCATATTCATATTTTGTACAAATATTTTCAGACATTAATTGATTTGCCCATTCAATCATATGACGACTATATTTTATATAACCATTCAATATACAATGTTTTGTTGCAATTTCTGTACGACAATCAAATGATAACCATAATTGACAACAATAATCTTGTTCAGCATCACCAATAAACGATGATGAACGCCATGCTGGAAATCGACAAGATGATGAATCACTACTAGTCGCTTTAGCCAATAATTGTTTATCAACAATTTTCCAACAACCAAAACATTCTGGATCCAATTCACAGGCTTTTATTTGTTTAACAGCAATATCCTGTTCAATCTTTTGTTGCGGTTGTTGTTTAACATTATCATTATCATTGATTGTTGGCCAACAATCAACCATTTTCAATGGTAATGATGAACATAATAAAAGAATTGTAAATACCACGATTGTAATCGAATTCATCATTATCAATGTTATCTGAATTTTTTTGGATATTGACAGTTTGAACACCGGATGATTAATGATAATCAAATATTCCAAATCGATCGAATCGTTTATGAACATTTTTATGGATGCTATTTAGGAATCATGCATGACAATATTACTGGGGTGATGAAAATCGTGTGAAAAAAAACAGCATCTCGATTGCCAATTATTGGCTACATGAACATCAACAAACAAAAAACCCAAAATGAAATAAACAAAAATTAACGGTGTTGATTTTTGTTTTTTCCATAGAATTTATATTACACACACACACACACACACCTGGCAGACACCATATCCATCAAATCACTATAGTGACATCAAATTGAAAAAGGGGGGAAAAAATACAAACATTAATTACCCTGATAGCCAAGTTAGTTTTTCATATTTATTTAACCATATAAGATGATAATGTTTCTATTAATCTAAGATTATCACCCAGTCATTTAATCAAAATGATTATCCAAAAAGTAAAGATATTTGTAAATGTTTAAAATAACTCTCAAAATAAAGTTTATCAAACAAAAAAATTAGCTGGAATTACATTGGATTTTTTATATACTTTGTCTTGGTTGATTGATTGATTGGTTTTTGGTTGAAGAAATTTTTGTTTTACAAGAAAAAAATTATGAATTCAAATCAATGGCCCAGAATTATTATACCCGATAGAATAAATATAGCCGAATGGATGAATGAAAAATTTTCATTATATTCAAAACTTTTATTTTTGGTATGTTTATCGATGATTTTGTTTTGTTTATGATGTTTTTGATCATTTTTTTTAAAAAAAACCCAAAAAAATCAGGTTGACGATCAAAATGATCGTTATATTAGTTATGGACACGTTTATGATGATATTCATCGTTTGATGAACGTTTTCAGAAAACAAAAAATATCATCGAAAAGCACGATCGCTATAATTACAAATTCAAATGATAACAGTTATGAACATATTATTACATTGATGGCCATTTTGATGATTGGTGCAAAATTGGTGATTTTCGATCATGATGATGACAATAATCTAACCAATGGTTTGATTACCTTTATAAACATTTTTTGTTGTTGATGATAAACTTATAATTTTAATATTATACGTTTATATAGAACAATTACAACAAGCAATCAAACAATGTAACATCACGAATTTAGTTGTCATTTCATCATCATTAAAACATCATCATGATCCGTATAATTTGTGTGAACAATTCAAGGTTTGTAAAAAAAAGAAGTTTTTTGTTTTGCAATCATTTCCGTGTTTGTTGCATATCTGTTGTTTTCACCTTTTTTTTTGTTTTTCTTGTCTTCGGGATAATTACTATCATCATCAGAGTCATTTTTCCGTATGGTTTGGCGAAAAAAATCGACAACAACAACAACAACAACAACGGCATACATCGATTAATACGGATGAACAATGTGACAACAACATCAGATATTACATGTTAGACATATCAAAGGATTATAGTCGTTTTAATCTAGATAATGAGAAATCTGGTCAAACAATGCGGAAAACAACAGCAACGAAAACCTGTCGTATAATTGTAGCCAAGTTCAAGGCTAAAACAATCATTACAAAATTATATAATATTGATGATTTTGATTTGTTTTTACAATTAACATATGGTAATTTTTATATAAAATTTGTTTTTTATAAAAAAAAAATTAATTTTATCATTATAAAAAGCTACATTACCTGAATGTGGTTTTGAATGGAATATGAACGATATCATATTGAATATGAATGGAATGTCCAATTTGATTAGTATTTTAGAATTGCTAATAATCCTTTCAATTGGCGCACAGTTTATTATCAATACTGGTCATTTAAAATCCAATTCCTACGGTCTATGTATTGATCGATTTGTAAATTTGATAAATAAATATAATGTTACCACATGTTTATTAAATTCACATTACCTGATTGATTTGTTAAAATGGCCATCAACAACAAAAACGTTTCAAATAAATTCATTAACAAAAATTCTACATTTTAGTCAACCATTTCATTCGAATATAATCAAGGATTTGCGAAACAGGTTTGAACAAATTCAAACTTGTCGTTTTGTTTTATGTAAGTTTTGTTTTTTTCATGTTTTTTCAATGTATCCAAAATCTAAAAAAAAAAATTCATTCCATTTTAGATTCACTGGATTCAAATGGTTTTGCTATGATTCAATCAATATCAGAACCAATATCTTATATGGAACCATGGCCAATGATTGAAATAAAACTTTTAGATTGGAATACGGATAATATTATTGACGTTAGTAATAATGATAAACAACAACAAGGACAACCTGGTCATTTATATATTCGATTTGATTGCCAACAACAACAACAATCGGATTGGATTAATACTGGTTTTATTGGATTTTATGATTACAAACACCGTTTACAGATTATCGATCGTAATAAAAATTTTATAAAAATACAGGAAAAACGTTTTTCAAAAACATTAATCGAAACAATATTATTATCATTACCATCGATACAACGAGCTTCGGTAAAATCAATTATTGATGATGATGATGATGGTCAATCCATTTTGACCATCGATATAACAATGAATGAATCAAATGAACAATCAAATAATACTGTGAATGAATTTCAAAAACAACTTCAACGTATGTTATTCGTTTCAAATTAACCCTTTCCATTCATTAATGAAAATTACAAATTTTTTTTCAAAAAAATAGATTATTTTGACAAAAATATTATCGAAAAATTTAAATTTAATATTATTACAGACGAAAAATAAAAAAGGGTAAAAATTATTTAGTAAATTTTTTTTTTCCAAATAATAATTATTAAAAAATTACAATCAAAAATTACAAATTAAATTACAAAAAAAAAATTAAAAAAATAATGGAAAATAAATTAGATAACATTTATGGACATTTGACTTTTGAGATCCAGATTCCATATTCGTTTTGGGTAATAAGAAGAAAAAACATAAAAAAAGATGCTAAAGATGTGTCTAAAAATATATTCAGTCAGTCGTCAACAATGATGACTTTAACCTTGTTGATCCGGATGATGATAAATTCATTTTTTGTCTTTGTTGTTTTCGTTGTTGTTTATACCTTACTATAAGCAATACAATGTAACAATAACATAAAAGCAACTAATATCGATATAACCATTATATCCTGATCAATTGCTTGCATACGTAAATCAGACCAATGTTTTAATAGCTTATTAGCAGCTATTTCAGCTTCACTATGAAGAAAAAATTGAAAAAATTGGAAAAACAAAATGATTTGATTTTGATTAAGGCAAAAATTTGTGAAAAAAACATGATTAACATTCATGTTCAACAAAAACAACACCTGATTACAGAAATTAATTCACCAAAAAAAAAAAAAAAAAAAAAAAAAAAAAAAAAAAAAAAAATCTAAATCATCAACAACAACAACAACATCACAAGGTTAGCAAACATTAACTACCTGACGTTTGTTCAATGCCATGTTGTTGAGAATTTGTTTTTTTATATAAATGAAAATAGCCTAAATTAACAATGTTAACGAAGAGAGAAAAATAATACTTTTCGATTANTGAAATATTGCATTTGAAATATTTCATTCACATTGCTGCTAGTGTGAAACCCCTATAAATGAAAATAGCCTAAATTAACAATGTTAACGAAGAGAGAAAAATAATACTTTTCGATTACCCTTTCAGGAAAAAAAACTGTTATTTCCTCAATTTCAATGATAATAATGATAATGTTGACCTCGAAATTTGAATTGAACATTGTTCGTTCGTTTGTTTTTTTTCTATTAAAAACTTACGGTACTTGAAGTGAATAATGTTGCATTTTGTGTTTTTATGTTGTTGATTTTTTCAAAATTTATTTGAATTTTACGGGCAAGGAATTTTGAATTTTACTGGAGGAAAAAAAAGAATTCTGAATTTTGAATTTATGGGGGAGATTCTTAATGAATTTTTTTAAAATGAATTTTAAAAATTGAAAAATTTTCACTGGGAAATTATAACTAACGAAAACAAAACGAAAACAAAACGAACACAGAACAGAACAGAACAGAAAATCCAAATGATTATAATAATAATGATGTTTAACGGATCAAATCAAAATTGGCAATGATGATTATTTTACAACATTATGTTTGAATTTTTATATTAAAAATTTTCTTTTCTACCATCATCATCAATGACGATCATGCACTTTGTCTGTTTCTGTGTGTATGAATAGAAGCTTCTCTCTCTCTAGCAATTTATCCTTTCTTCTTGTTGCCTTTTTTACTTACAACAAGTGCTTTTTCGATTGCCATTGCACCAAATCAACAGCAACAACAACAACGAAAACGTAAAAAAAGCGGCAGCAATCCTCAATAATAATTGTCAGGATTGCATTTTACTTTACTTTTTTTGTTCAAAAAAAAAAAAAAAAAAAATTAATCATTTTTTTCCACTTTCATATGTGTATCAAGAGAAACGTGAGAGTTTATTTCAGATTTCACGTCCTTTTTATCCCCATAATAATCAAAAGAAAAAAACGAGATTGATTGAGATTCTTATCGTACCACCAACGTGTGTTTTATTCATTCATTCTTGGTTCATTTTGTTTTTCATGTATGCAAGTAAGGCGGCGGTCCCACTTGTATAAACTAACAAACAGACTAAACCGAAAAATGCACTGTGGAAGTAGAAAACGGGAAAAGTTTGCGATTTGACAAACTTTCGAGTTTAACATATCAAGCAAGCATGATCCGGCAAACTAGTTTTTTTAGTTTATACAAGTGGGACCGCCGCCTAAAAAAACCCGGCAACAACAACAAAAAACCAACCAACCGATTGAACTGATTACCCATATCAGAAAAGAAAAGAATCAACAACCTCATATGATGATGACCTTCAATTGTTTGATTTGACCATTTGATTTTTTTTTTTTTTTTTTGGTAATTAATGATTAGGATTTATCAATAGATTGATTTACCAGCATGTGTGTGTTGGCGATCACGTTTGACTTTTTTTTATGCAATTTTTTTTTGTTTTCTGTTTTGGACAATTACTAAACATCTAAGGAAATTACAAAATAGCCGCGATTATAATGAAATTTGAAAGCTAATGTGTTTCATTGCTAAAAATTTGCAACATTTTTTTTTGTTTGACCATTGTGAACAAACAAATAAACAAAAAAAAAAGAAGATTATCGTTTCATTCTTTCATTTCTTCGTTTGCTTGATTGCTTCAGGTGTGTGCTGCAATTCATTTTTACTTTTGGGCAACATTAATCTCATTAATAGTTTTTGCATAAGTTTTTTTTGGAATCAATCGATGAATTGGAAATTGAACAAAAAAACCGAAGGGGTTTTTTCTTCTTCAAAAATTAATCGGATAATATTATGACCACATGCATGGACACAATGCACACAATACAGATTACTGTTCATTATTGATTTCATCATCACCATGATCATCATCATGGCTGTAATGGAAGTAAAATAGGATAACAGCACAACAAATTATCATCATCCTTATGATCATTATGATCATTATTTACGCAAAGATGTTAAACGAATAAGCTATTAAAATAGTAAAGTATATCAACATCTAGTTTATGGTCATTTGTTGTTGTTGTTTTTTAACTTTTCCTTTTCACTTTCATCCTCTTCCCCCTATTATCAATTGTATAATAATGATGATGATGATGATTGGCCAATGTAACTTTGTAAGATTGTTTGATGATAATGATTATGATGATGATTATGAAATTCTTGTATTACATTACATTAATATCTTTGTAATTACATTATTTCGTTGTCATTGATAGTTTTACAAGAAATAATCTTTCAACATCCTATATACCTTTTCTCATGATTTTCTGTTCACATTTCCCTCATCATTTCCTTCATTTTCAAACAAATAGAATTGTCTGGGGTTAAGTTATTCAGGAATTTACCAAGGTTTACCGGAACATTCATACCGTAATACGTGATTTATTGGACAACAAAATCGATTGATTGATACTTTCCCCTGAAATATAAAAAACATTTACCAACGTCATTGATTACAAATATTTAGATTTTATTTTATTTTCATAAATTGATTACATTCGATCTAGTTAATCCGAACAACAACAAAACATACGGTGTTTTACTGTTTTACTAGAAAAATGTTATTGCAAGTTTTTTTTCGATGTTACGTCCAGCAGGAAATATGATTTTGATGTTTTTGACTAAGATTTTTTTGTCGGTACCGGTATAGACATCATTGGCATTGGTACTGGAAATAATACTGTTGTTTCTTTATTTGATGAATTTGAACCAAGATTTTGTATAAAACGTAATTGAAATGACATTGGTTCAATTGATAATATTTCTGATGCTTCTTTTAATCCATATGATGCTTTTAGTTCACCTTTTGCTGCAATAATCTATATCCAAAAAAAAACAAACATTTTTGAGAGAGAAAACGAAAATAAAAGAACAGAAAACGTTATTTTCAATTAATTATTCAGATGTAAAAATTCATTTACAGCCAGTTAGTCATTCAGTCAGTCAGTCATTCAGTACAGTCAGACAAAGATAAGTGTGTGGTATTATAAATCGTGATCATTTTCATGGATCGAATAAGAAAAAATAAAAAATATCTGGGACAAAAAAGAAGAAAATCTCTTCTCAACAAGTCTGCAAAGTCTGCAACAATCAATAGCCATGGATGATTGTTTTTTTTTTGTTTGTCTGTGATACAAGTTCATATCCGAAACTATCATACTAATTAAGCTTTAATCATCATCATTCGTTCGTTCATCGTCATAATCATTCATTTCATATGTTCGGTTAATATAGTCAATTTTTTTATTATTATTATTATTACCTTAGCTCTTGCTTCACGAGTTGATTCAGCTTCAACAGCCATTGACCTTTGCATTGATGTAGGAAGTCGTACATCTTTGCTAAATTAATGAAAGAAAGAAAAATTAAAAAATGACGAGAGAAGAAACAAAAGTAAAAATTTCACATTAAAAAAATATGGATAATCTCTTACAGTTCGACTCGTTCAATTTTAACTCCTAATCAAAAAATGGAGGGAAAAAAGAAAAAATGAATTTGAAATTTTTTTTTGATTATCATCATTATCATTAATAATTTACCCCATGTTTTAGTTACACTATCAACCATTGAATTAATATCTGTACCAATTTTTTTACGATCACTTAATATTTCTGATAATGTTCTTGTACCTAATGCATTACGTAATGTAACCGATGTTAATAATTGTGTTGCTTGTCCATAATCAAAAACATTTGATACGGCAATTGTTGGTAGCCAAATTCGATAAAATAATACAGCATCAACTGATATTGTAACAGAATCTTTAGTTAAAACTTCTTGTGGTGGTATATCATAGGTTATTGTTCGTAAATCAACAACCGAATAATCATCTATACATGGTAAAATGAAAAACAGTCCTGGACCTGTGATCGCACGCAAACACACAAAGATTAATGGATGACCATTAAAATTTTTTGGATTAAAATTCTTAATTAACATTACCTCTGGTACCACAACCAACTAATTTGCCCAAACGAAATATAACAGCTCTTTCATATTCTTGTACAATCTGTATAATCGTGTAGCCAAAGAAAACAAAAACATAAATCAAAATGTTATTAGTCCTTGCTTAAAAAATTGAAACAAACAAACGTAACCTTGAAACACATCAATAAACTGATTGGAAAGGTCGTTATCAATAACAGATATGATCCTATTATGAATATATTTTCAAATAAAGTTGTTTCCGATGATGTTGTTGATGATGATGATGATTTAACATTATAACCATTAACCAATTGACCATTTGACATACGTCCAAAAATTTGTTGATCATCAGTGGCCATTTTTTTATCAACTAAATTTTTTTTGTTTTTTGACATTTGATACGTCTTTATTAAGAAAATTTATTATAATTTTCTTTGTTATTTTTTTTTCTCGTCCATTTTTCTTCTTTACGGTTGCCAATGGAAATATCGACCCTGTACGGTTATTGTTGTTATTGGTGTTTGCATTTCAAAGTTTTTCATTTTCGAAGGAAATCAAATGACTTTTCGACTAACTTAACATGGTAGCTTTTTCAAAGGACTATCCATTTTAGTATGGAAAATCGATTTTTTTGCTACAAAAAAAAAATCCGTTAATGTTGAATAAATAGACAAAAATCAAGGCAAAACACAAACAGATTTATTTGATTTTTTAAATACAGAAAAATAAACAAATAGGAAAACAAAAACAATGGACATTTATCAATTATTATCGCTTTTGGTCGTCATTTGTCAACCGAATTTGAATCATCATCATCAATGGTGTCGCTGTCATTGTCATTTTCATCGTTGGTATCATCCGTATCATCATCCGCATCATCATCGCTGTCCTTGTCTTCATCATCAGTATGATCATCCCAACCAAGTGGCCTAGAATTATCATCATCATTATCATTTTGTTTACCATTTTTTTCTAAATCTTTTTTCTTATATTCATTAATTAATTTTTCCATTGCATTTTTACTAACAATGGAATTCTGTTCCAATTGTTCAATCAATTCAGGATCATTTTCATTAGTTATTAATGTTTCATCATCATTCGAACAATTATCATCATAATCCAATAGATAATAATTATCAATACATTCACGTTGTTGTGCATTATGTCTTTTAGTCATTTCTTCAATTAAATTTTTATAAATTTTTGTAACAATATTATCGGTTAATTGAAAATTATCAATTTTTTCATCATTTAATTTTGATAAAATTGATTGTTTGAGATCTAATATTGTAAACATTGGTAATTGTAAAAAATCTTTTTTTCGTTTTTGTAATTTTCTTGATTGTTGTTGTTGTATCAATTCGTGTTCGGCATTTTTCAATGAATTAAGATGATTGTTGACAAAATTTTCCACTATTTGTTTCAATTGTGGATGATGATTGATGATATTATCATCACCATTATAAACAAATTTTCTATATAATTGTAAACCAGTATCGGTTGATCGATTAAGCAACAATTCACGTTGTTGCCATATACGTATGGCTAGTTTTTGTAATCGTGGTAATTTTGTAAATACAGTATGATCATTCATTTCATCCAATGTTAATGATCTTGATTGATATTTATGAATATCTTCATTAATTTTCTTTAATTTTATTGTTAAATTATTAATTTTTTGTTGAATTTTTCTATTAAATTGTACATTATTGGATTGGTCATTTTTCTTCAATGAAATTGAAAATCGTTGTAATTCTTTCAATAAATCATTATTTATTGTAATGGCAATGTTTGATGATGAGTTGGCTTTTTCAATCAAATCATCATTAAATGAAGTGAAAAATTTCACAAAACTTGTAGTTTTAATAAAACTACTGGAATTTGTTTTAATATTATCAATAATATTGGTTAATTTTTTCAAACTTATTTCATATGCATCAGGATCATCCACTATTTTTCCAAACGTTTTAATATACTAAAATGGAAAAAAAATTTCGAATAAAATAAAATGAAATGTATCTAATTAGTCTTTACCTGTTGAATAGAATCTTGAGCTTTAGTTAATTGTTCATTTCCACTTTCATCATCAAACAATCGATAGTTTTCGAAATTCGACTTAACATTATTTTTCAATTTCTTTTCGATCTGTATTTCGATCGATAAAGAAATTAAATAAATCAATGAATTTATCTACTAATGATTATTACCTGTACTTACCGGAGATGTTATTGTAATGAAATCAATTTTTCTTTTAGAATTTTCATCCATTTTTCAAAATGTTTAGAGTCTTTTGTTTACAAATGTAAAGCAAAAGAGTTCGCGCCTTAAGTCGGGTTTTAAGCCGTTATAACCATTCAAGTAAAAATAGCCATTTTTTTGAAATTCAATAAACGCGCGCTTTTGATAAACAAGACAAATTTTTTATTTTTTTTTTTGAAAATTTTAAAAAAAATGTTTATATATTAGATTGAATAATCGTTAAACATAATTGACATTCATTACAAGGTTTAAGATTTAAACGTTGTAAACAACGTAAACGTTGTCGTCCAGTATAATCAGGTAATTGATTTGATATACGTAATTTATCACCGGGTAATATTCTTGTCGAAGCTTTATAAATAATTCTACCATCATTATCAAATTGACGTTCAACATTTGATTCGGATGGACATGATGCTTGTAATCGAACACTAAATGCACCTAATGCACGTCCAACATTATCCTGACAAACAATATTACGTTGATAATTATTATCAACCGTAGTCATTAATGATTGTTTAATTAAATCATGATGACCAATTGGTGAATGTCTAATTCGATATAATGCTGCAAATACAATTCGAATTAATTTTATTAGATCTTCCATTTGAATTGGATTTTCAATTGATTTATTATCAATTCCTTCATCATTTATCGTACGGATTGCTTCTAAATCTAATTTCGTTAGGCGAAATTTATGTGCAATAATCATTGATAAACGTATTGAATCGAAAAGTAATTTCCGTCCATCATCAATATCTGGTTTTTGTAAATCAATCTGACCGATAGATGAATATGGTAAATCCAACATCATCTGTGTAAATACAGTCATCATAAATGGTAAACGTATTGGATATCTTAAACCATGATCATATGCACGAATATTATCAACACGTGATGCATCAACAATCAAACGTATTGGTAATGATGCAAATAAATCATATATTAATGCAATTGTATGATCATTATTAAAATGTTCATAAATTATTGATGCTGATAATTGACAGGTTTTTTGATGATTAGTTGCTGATGACATACGTTCACATAAAACATTACAGAAAACTGATTCCGAACAAACTGAACATGGTATAAAATGATGTGATACGCTACGTTTACAAAATGTACAAAATTTTTTCCAATATGATTTCTTTACGGAAAATGCAACAATTTTTTCATAAAAAATTATTTCACCTTTTTGTATTGGTCTTGTTGAACAAAGATAAAGACTATTATCATTATCAAATTGTGCTGTAGCAAATATATCGGAATAGGCAAATTCTTGATGTGCCTATTTATTTCATTTTTGATTAGTTGTTTTCTGAATGAAATTAATCTTGATTTAACACTTACCTTAGCTGAATCCATCAGCGAACCTTCTTCATTATCATTGGATTGAATTTGTTGTCCATCAATACCTGGTTGACCAATTTGTTGTTGTTGTTGTTGTTGATGTTTTAATTGTATTAAAATATCATCCAATTCAACTGGTAAACCTTCTTTTTTTAATCGTCTTAATACTGAACCATATGTCCGAAATAACATTGATTCAGGAATTGATTCACGCATAAATTCAACTATTTGACTTGATACGGATTGTTGTTGTTGTTGTCGCTGGATTCTTGGTGTATAATCAAAATAAGCTAATAATTGTAATTGTCTAATTAAATGTTGATAACGTTGTAAATGATTTTCACGTTTTATTGAACCTAATGATTTATATGTTGGATTTGTCAATAAACGATAATAACATTTGATTGCATAATAAAATAATTGTTGTGATAAACGTACATCATTACCACAATTAACCATACCGGGTGGTGGTGATGGTGTTTGTATTTGTAAATCTTGTTCGGATTGTTGTTGACAAACCTGTGATAATAGTATATCTAGATCATGTGCAGCGGTTAAATATTTACCAGCTTGCATACAAACAAGCATTCGTTGCCAATATGCTTGTACAACTTGTTCATCATCACCAATACGTATTAATTTGGTTAATAATTTAAATTTTATATGTAAATCATTTTCATTAGAAACTAAACGAAATAATCGTTCACCATCTTGTTGTAATTTACCATTCTGTTCGGTTATTAAATTTATCCAACGTTTTAATTCATCATTAATACTATTTAATGCATTAAACATTGAACGATTTGTTATTAATTGTATTAATAAATCATCAATTGTATGTATTGATTGATTTTGTTGTAAAAATGTTTGTAATTGTACTTGAAATAATTGTTCTTTTGTTTCGATTCTTAAATCATATGAACTAGGTGATAATGTTGTTGTTAATCGTTCTCTTTTGATTTGTCGTAAAATTTGTTGCCACATTCTTTTCGCACGTAACATTGATAATTTACTTTGTCTCATTGTTAAATAAATTTTATCAATCAATTCTTCACGTTGTTCGAATGTAGCCAATTCAAATTGACGATAACGATAATATTTTTTCGAATCAGTTCGTTCTAATGGAAACATAAAACCAGTATAACCGCATGATAATTGTTGCATTAATTGTCGAAAACCATTTGGATCACTAAAAAGATAATAATCAATACGATCTTTACGTTTTTGATAACGTCGTATATAGCTTGGTATTGGAGCAGCCATATTTTTCAAAATTTTTCGAAAGTTTTTTTTTGAAAAACCAAAACAAAACAAAACATTCACAAAGGCTGAAATCAATCAAATTGAATGGAATTTATACAGAAAAAGCAATACAAAGCCTTAATCTAATCATTTCATTGTCGAATTATGTAAGCGAAATGAGTTTTGTTTGTTGGTTTTTGCTTTTTGTTTGTTGTTGTTTGGTTTTTCGATTTAATTTAATCAATTTAATCAAGAAAAATAGTTTAAAAATTTATCAACAATACAATCATCATCAACGACAATATGGTTGGGATACATTCGTTCTAAACATTGTGTATAATATTTACAATATTTTTTTGCCTGTTTCAAACGATATTCTAACCATCTTGATGATAACCAATGAAACCATCGGAAATGGGAAAAAAATCTATATGCAACAATTGTAAATATATAATGAATACGAGATGGAAAATTTTTCAATCGAATATCATCTTCATCGATAGCAGGTGTGGGAATTTTTTTCCAAACAAATTTACATGCATATCTCATCATTATATTATAATTTATGAATGGTTCAAGTATACCCAATGCTTGAAATAAACCTTTTGACATTAATCTTGCTGTATTGGTTATGGATAGATTTGTATCATCATCATTAGCTGGTTGTTGACGCAATGTTGTTAATGTTGGTAGTAATTCTTGTTGAAAAATTTGCTGACAAATTTCAATAATTTCCTGATCCGTACCTGAACAAAGATTAAATTGATCATCAATACCAAGACAATAACCAATTGTACGCCAAAAATGAAATATACAATGTATTTCCTTCTGTGTTAAAATATCAAAACCTAATTGTTTAGGAAATATAGCAAACAAACCAACAAATGGAAATTGTCCATGATACATTCGATATTGATTCATCCAGATTAATCTGGATGTTTGATTTTTATTTAATTTCTGTGATACTTTACTATGCATTTGACGTATTGTAGACAATGTTCTATATGCTTTACTTTGTTCATCGAATGGATTCAATTCAAACCATATCGAAATATAATCAATCGTCTTTAGATAACGTTGAAACAGGTGTGCTACAGATTTTGATTTACCTGTACTGATTAATGGAATCAAATCGTCTGGATAGAAAAATGATAATGATAAACCATAAATGTAACTTAGTATGAATCTAAGGGGAAAAAACGTTAGAATTACAAATTACAAAAATGAACAAACAGAATCACTGAACTTACGTGCTTTTATATGTACGAAAAAGTTTTTGTGCTTGTTGAAAATTACCCGGCTCAAACCAATCTGGTGGTTTAGACCAATAATATTCATCAGTTTGATTTTGATAAACATCACATTCACAATGATTTGCATTTTCGAAAATAAAACTACGTCGACGTTTAATACGTTCCTGTATGGTCAACATTGTCGAATAACATTCACCAACCAAATGACCAATGGTCAGCGAAAAAAACAACAAACAAACATGTTGATTAAATAGCCTTGTGGGATTTCTTTCTTTTCAAACGCCAATCCATATATCCATATATCCGTTTGAATAGTGTTTTTCTTGGTAGTTTTACTTGCGCAATGTTTGTGATGATGAAATCATTTAACCAAGAAAAACACTAATATTTTATGTTCGACTGAAATAACAAAAGAAAAGAGTTCTACTAATTAATTGGTTACCTGGGTAATTAATGAATTGTCAATATATTTTTTATTTCAATGAAAAACTTGAACTTTTAAATTTTTCAAGTTTATCAATTTCACAATCAAGACAACATTTGGTGTCGAAACATTGAAATTTATTGTCAACTGCAACTTTGAAAATTCAAACAAGCAAAAAAAAAATGTCTGGTTTTTTATGGTTAACCAATCAAAAATGGATGAATGTTTTGTATCGATATGTAGCACCATATCAATTACGTTGGGCTAAAGCATTCACAAAAACTACCCTAGAACAAATTGATAATCATTATCGTTATAGATTTGAAATTTATCGTCGACAATTACCAATATTATCATTAATAATATTTATGTTTATAATTTTAATATTTATAGATTATGATGATAAAAAATTTATAATAATATCAGCTATAAAAAAGAGTAATGTTTTTAATATTTGGTTTGGTAATCAATTTACTCGCGTAATTGTTATATGTTATTTAATATTTCTTAGTTATGGTTCAATTATGATTATGCATCGTTTTTTACCATTTTGTCATAATAAATTGAATAATTTAATATTAAAAGATTTAATTGAATATCATAATCGAAAATTAACAGCAAATCAATCAAGATTATTACGTTTTTCTGATCAAAAAACATTAAAACATATTGATTGGACATTATTTGGTTTGGAAATTATTTTTACTATCGCACCGGTTATTTATGGTATTTTTCTTTGCTTTGTTTTTTAACCCTTGAAAAGATTGAATTTTATCCATCATTTTTGTTTTGTTTTATGTTTATGTAGCAATAGCCGCTTTGATTGCAACCATAATTTTCACCTATCAATTATATCAAAATCCACCTGTAACAACATTAATATTCCTGATTGAATTATATGTATTTGGTTTCGGTATTATCGTTATATTTATCATTATAATGGGTGCATTATGGTTATTTATTGATGCTGAATTACGTACGATTTATTTTCAGGATTGTTTCCTACAACTAAATTCAATGATGAAAAATTCAACAAAATTCATTCAACAACAACAGCAAAATCGTTCATCATTGAATTATTCGATAGAATGTGAACGACAAATAATGTTTTTTATATTTTGTCATAATTTTCTTTGTTGGTTTTTAAATAAAATAAATCCATGGTGGAAACGTAGAAATCTAACATGTGTTGCATTAACAATACCAAACAATGCAATGATGGTCAATCTTTTACTGTTTCAAACATTTGAACCAAAAAGATTTCTTGTTTTATTTGCATTCACTGCATTACAATTCCTGTTGGCAGCTATTGCTATTGGTATTATACCGGCTATTAATTATTATGCTATTGGTAGCCGCCAATCATTATTTGATTATTTAGCATTATTATCAACAACAACAACAACAACAACAAAACATTCGATTTCAATTCGTACAAAAATCAAAACATTAGTATATTTAGAACGTATTACATCCGAACGTATGTTAATTGGTGCACAGATTGGTATTGAACAATATGTTATTACATATGCATCGTATTGGCAGGTAAATTCAAACTAAAATGATGGTATTTTTAGATTTCAAATGAATTTTTCTTCGCTTAATTTTACTTTTTACTTTCACTTTTTTCTTCCCTTTCACATTATAGTTTATTGGACTTTATATAGGTTATTTTTTTCGATCAATCAAATTGTTTTATTCGAATCGAATGTAAACTTGAACTTGAAAAACGCAAAAAAAAACTAATAATAATCATTATTTACATTTGAAAAATACATTTGTCAGTAAATTTAATTTATTCCTTCCCCTTTTTACCAATTATTATTATTGTTTATCAAATAAAAATTTTACTTTAATTACAAGGAAATCATTCGTTAAATTAATGAACAAATGAAAAAAAAGTTGACAATCAATTAATGTGTGTTTACAGATATTTGGCAATAAGGTAAAACAAAATGAGGATGACAATGGGGAAAAACAAAACTTCATTTCAGGTTAAAATTCATTGAAAAAGAGTTTTTTTTGTCAACCTTTTCCAAAACCGCAAATAGAGTGATAAGATTCACAAGAATTTTTCGAAACCAACCAACAACGAAAGTTTACTTTTATCAAGGTTTAAGACATTGAACATTTCAAATTTCATTATCACTGAATTTGGGCTGACTGAAAAGAAAACAAACAAACAAACAGAAAATGTCTGGATTTTATTGGCTTACAAATCAATCATGGATGGATTTTTTCTATCGATGGCTATCACCATATCAATTACGTTTTGCAACCGATTTCACAAGGACAACATTAGTACAAATTGATTATCATCGTCATTATCGATTTGAATTATATCGTCGATTATTACCATTGATTTCAATGATGTTATTCATGATAATGGTCATTATATTTATTGATCATGATCATATTGTTATAATTAAAGCATTAAAAGAATCAAAAGTATTTAATATATGGTTTGGACAGAAATTTACACGTATTGTTATTTTATGTTATTTACTTTATATAACATATGGTTCACTTATAATTATACATAGATTTTTACCATATTATCATAATAAATGGATAAATATGTTAATAAAAGAATTATTGGAATATCATAATGGTATAAAACCGATATCACATACAACATTATTAAGACAATGTGATCAATCAACATTAAAACATATTAATTGGACTATATTTGGTATTGAAATTATTTATAAAGCAATTCCATTTGCACATGGTATGTTTGATTTTTGATTTTTGCTTTTTGTTTTCGGTAATTCGTTGTTGATTATCTTTTCCTTTTTCCCCACATAGGATTAGTATCATTATTGGTTGCTACATTATTCTTTATGCAATTATATGATGAACCACCAAGAACAATATTGATTGCTGCAATTGAAACATATATTTTTATAAATGGTATAACAATAGCAAGAATTATTGTAACTGCATCTTGTTGGTTGTTTTTTATATCGGAAATACGTTGTGTTTATCTACAGGATCGTTTAATGCAATTGAATTTATTGCTAAAAAATTTACATCAATCTTGTCGTAGTTTAGTTAATAATAATCATAATACAAATACTTTGAATAATCAAAAAAACATTCATATTTTAACACGTAATAGTTTTGTTCGTGATGGACAAATATTAACGAATAATCAAAATCGTATTGAATATGTAACAAGAAGATTAATGTATTTTTTAAATAATCATAATTCATTATGTTGGTTAATTAATCGTATGAATGAACATTGGAGTGAATGTAATATGTTATGTATGATGTTTAATATACCGAATAATGCAATGATGGTTAACCTGTTATTATTTCAAAAATTTGAACCAAGAAGATTTTTAGTATTATTTTTATTCACCGTTATTCAATTTGCAATGGCTACTATTGCAATTGGTATTATACCGGCAATACATTATTATGCAATTGGTTGTAGACAGTATTTATTTTTTTGTTCAACTCGATTTTCACAATGTATACGTAATTCAATTTTATCGGCAAGAATACAGATGAAAACATTAGTTTATGTTGAACGTGTTACATCGACTGAAATGAAAATTGGTATTGAAATTGCACCAAGACAACCGATTATTACTTATGCATCTTATTGGGAGGTAAGTGATTCCACAGTTTGTTTTTTTTCCATTTTTTTTTTTGCTAATTGAATTCCTTTTCTATTTTTCTATTTTTTTTTATAAAATAGTTTTTCGGTCTCTATATTGGTTATTTTGCTCGAATAGTAAAATTATTTCGTCAAGTTTCTTGAAAAATTTATTTCATTTATTATGATTGAAATAATAGATGTATGAACATTAAATAGCTCATATAACTTAGAAAAAACTAGAATTTAATTTTGTAAACAAAAAAAATAATAATAGAAAAAAAATTAGAAATGAATAAATAGATAATCTTATTTAATAATAATAAAAAAAATTATAAATTTATAAATACAAACCTGCCATGCATTATAATGTGTAACACAAAATGGACCAATATGTATACCGATTTGTTTATGATTTGATATTAAACGTTGTGTATATGTTTGTAATTTAAGATAATAACGTAATGACATTAATGGTAAATATTTTCGATTTTGATTTTTCATTGCTAACAATGAATATAATGTATGATGCATTTCATATATACTTAAATGTACACGCATTGGTAACCAAGCAAAAAAAATTGGTGTTAAAGTTGATATATTAAAAACATATAATATAATAAGCAAAAGATTAAGTAATGTAAATTGTTTATAATGAAATATCATTAAATCTAACATTATAATATGAATTGGTACTAAAAATATAGTCGAATAACCAATTATAAAACTAAGACGTTCATTTACATCATATAACCAAATAATCATTGAATTATGATTTTGTAGAAATGTATGCAATAATAATTGATTCCATTTTGGTGATATGAAATTTGTTTTTTGTTGATAAATTCTTTTCAATAATTTATTCCAATAAATAAATCTATAACGAAAATATGTTAATTGTATCATATAGAAAAATACAATACAATTTGCAGCTGTTATGATTGCTTTACCACCAACTAATGCAGTTGTTAATATCATTGAATCCATGAATATGATTGAAAAATTTGATTGTGGAATTACATTCAAAAAATAAATAAATGCCAATAAATATGTTAATAGTATTATTCCTATATTGGAGAAGTGAACAAATTTTTTTTGATGTTAATTAACCCATTTGATTATTGTCATTCAAGAAAACAAAGACCTACCAAAAATAATGGAACCAAATCGCATAAATAATTCACCAATTTGATTGATTTTATTTAGATTTTCTAATGTTATTTCATCACAATGTTTAAGTAATGGATGTTTGTCATAATCATGATTAATATTATGGCCATCATTAAAAATGTTGATAATTTTTTGTATTAATAATTTACCCATATTGTTTATTGTTATTCTATAACGTGCATACAATATAAACAAACCAAAAATAAAACCCAAAACATGACAAAAAAATAATACATTTCCATATTTTGGATCAAAACATAATCGAAATGTATAGGTTTGACGATAAAGTTGTATAAAATAAAAATCATTTCGTTTATTAAATAACAATATAAATGTATTGAATGAACATAATGAAAAAATCATTGCGGAACGAACTAGAAATTCATAATTATTTATTTTTGATTCATAATCAATCATTTGTAAAAGTGTTTGTCGAAATGATACATATGTAAATAAACCCATTAAATGTAAAATTTGAATCAAAAATAAAGAAATTAATTTGAATTTTTTAATCTTCATGTTTTCTTTTTTTTGGTTGTCCAGAAAAAAAACGTTGCTATTCGAATGAATATCGTTGAATGAATAGATAATGGAAAATTTTTTTTGTTTGCGAAATTTTTTTTGAAACCAAATCGAAAATTCGAAAATAATAAAATGACAATCAATATTGATCATCAATTATTAAAAAAGTTTTAAAAAGTTAAAAAAAAATAGATTTGCTGAAAAACAATCGAAAATCATTATTTGAAAATCAATATTTGATAAATTTTTTTTATTTATTATTTTCATCCAAAATAAAAAGAAAACTTTATGTATATAAAAAAAATCAATCAATCAATCATTTCAATTCATTAACATATCATTCGATTCGTTTGATATAAAATCGGTACCATCACGATTTTTTGAACGAAATAATTCACGACGAATTTCTGGTGTAATCGAATGATGAGTTTGTACACGTAATAGTTCTAATAATGATTCTTTTTGTTCACTGGAAAGATCATTTTTATAATTTTGTACAAATGCCAATAAACATTGATGCCATAAAACTGGTAATGTTGAACGACGATCATTTAAAAATCGATAAAAATGATAGAATAATGCATCGATCACTCGATAAGGAAGTGCATATTTTTTCTGTATTAATATATTTAAAAATATTGAATTTGCACCACTATAATCCATTTCAGCAATTTTTAACATTGC